TCCTGTTTAACAATACCCTGTTGAAGACTTTTCCCGGTATTGAGAGAAGAGTGATGCCCCTGTAGTTATCACAGTTGCTGAGATCGCCTTTCTTCGGTATTTTGGTCAGGAGTCCTTCTTTCCAGTCTTTTGGTACTTGTTCCTCATCCCAAATCTTATTGAAGAGAATGTGGAGTATCCTTGAAGTTACCGCCACGTCTGCTTTTAGCGCCTCTGCTGGAATGTTGTCTGGTCCCGCTGCTTTATCACTCTTGATTTGTCCGATGGCCATGCTGATTTCTTCAATTGTTAGTGGGCCAACATTGATTTGGAGGTCCGTGGGTGCTGCTTCGATGTTGAGTGAGTTCAATGGAGCTGGTCGATTCAAGAGTTCTTTGAAGTGTTCTACCCACCTGTTTTGTTGTTCTTCAATGTTGGTGATTACCTTGCCTTCCTTGCTTTTCACTGGTCGTTCTGGTTTGCGGCGATTTCCAGAGTTTCTTTGTTATGTCATACAGTTGTCTCATGTTTCCTTCTCTTGCAGCCTTTTCCGCCGTTGTTGCTAAATCTTCCACATTTTTACGTTTGTCAGTTCTGATGCTCCTCTTCACTTGCTTGTTTACCTCTGTGTATTCAGCTTGTGCCTTGGCTTTTTCCGCTCTTGTTCGACTGGTATTGATTGCCGCCTTCTTGTTCCTCCTTTCTTGAATCTTACCCAGTGTATCAACAGTGATCCATTCCTTGTGGTGGTGCTTCTTGTGACCCAGGACCTCATGACATGTTGAAGTGATTGCCTTTTTGATCCCCTTCCAGTTGCTCTCCACAGTAGTTCCTTTTCCATTGAGTAGATCATGAAAGGCCTGGAACTTGTTGCTGAGGACTATCTTGAATTTGTTGAGTTTGTTAGTATCCTGAAGAAAGGCCGTATTGAACTTTTGTGATATTGTCCGCCCAATCGTCCAGTGCTTCTTGAGTTTCAATTTCATCTTGGCGACCAGTAAGTGATGATCTGATGCTATATCAGCTCCTCTCTTGGTTCTCACGTCCTCTATAGTCCTCCTGAACGTTTTGTTGTTGCAAATATGGTCGATTTGGTTTTGTGTAGAGTGATCCGGTGAAGTCCATGTGGTTTTGTGTATGCGTTTATGTGGGAATATGGTGCCGCCTATGACCAGCTTATTGAAGGCACATAGATTTGCAAATCTCTCACCATTTTCGTTTCTTTCTCCCAGTCCGTGTCGTCCCATGATGTCTTCATATCCAGTGTTGTCCGTTCCAACCTTGGCGTTGAAATCTCCCATCAGAATGGTCAGGTCCTTTGTTGGGCACTTCTCGACGATTGACTGCAGCCTATTGTAGAATTGATCTTTAGCGTCTTCATTGTAGTCGTTGGTAGGCGCATAGCATTGGATGATGTTCATTGAAATGCCCTCTTTCTTTGTTTTGAACGAGGCTTTGATGATCCTTGGTCCATGAGATTCCCATCCTATAAGTGCCTTTTGTGCTTGTTTGGACAGCATCAATGCAACTCCCTGTGTATGTGGTGCATTTTCTTCTTCATGGCCGGAGTATAACAGGAGCTCTCCTGTAGTTAGTCGTTGATGTCCAACTTGTGTCCAATGTGTTTCACTGATCCCAAGTACCTCTAGGTTGTATCTTCTCATTTCTGCAGCAGTCTGGAAGGCTCTTCCGGTGTCCCACATTGTACGAATATTCCATGTACCTAAATAAATGGTCGCTCTGGTTGTCAGAAGGGGCATCGGCCTCGTAACTTCCGAAGGGATTCGGCTTTCATCATGAGGCGTCATAATTCTTCTAAATGAAGACCTTCTGACTCCCAGGGCAGAGTTTAAAAGATCTGAATAATTTTTTCTGGTTAGCGTTTTTTAGTGAGTTAGTTTTCTACGGGATGGGGACGCTAACCCCATGCCCAACCCTCCTCCTTTATCCGGGCTTGGGACAGGCAGTAGCCCCCGGAGGGGCTCCAGGCGGAGTTACGATGAAAAGTACCTGCAAATTCTCACCTTCATATACGAATTATTTCTGGACAGCTGTCTTCCAGTTTGAGTGCTTCGTACTCCCTGGGAGACTAGATTCCTACACTACTTTGAGTTACTAGTGTTCTATTAGTGCGGGTAGGGGCATTGCTTGCCTACCATATGGCATTTGACTGGGGAGTTTAAGATTAGTCGCAGGTACGGTTAGGATGTATAACGCGTGTCCATCAGCTGCCGTGACAACTCATGGTGGTTAGAATAAGTTATGAGAGGACCCGAGTCTGTAGGTTTCCCAAGAAAATGGCGAAGATATGTACTAAATCACTTAAATTTACTACATATGAACTGGGTGCTGCGAGGCTCGTGTATCGCAAGTTTCTTGCAACGATTAAGTAGATAAAACAAAGTAGCATTAGATTTGAAAATTTATTCAGGAACTTTCATTAAGAATCGAATATCAAACAAAGATTTAAACGAAGTTCCCGTTTAAAAGTTGCATTGGTAATGTTAAGCTTCAGTCTTTGTTGCTTTTTCCAAACGAAAGGGTAAAAGAAGTAACTCAAAAAGTACTGGAAGTTGTTATGAGACTAAAATGGACGTCCAGCATCCTTTTTATAATCTGCTGTTAGTTGGGTCTCCCGTAAAGAGTTTCATAGGGCCATAGTTCTAAGGGTGAAACAGTTCTTAGGATCCGTGAAGACTCAATCCTATTGCATTCTAAACGAGAAAATGGTAATGAATTTAGTCAGAAATGTGGAATAGATAAATAACCAAATTACAAGTTTTTTTAGCAAAGAATTTATGCAGTTTGATTTACCTTGAGTTCATAAATATTAGATCAGGTCAGCTATTATTACTTGTGCAAAGCATCACATGGGTTTAGTACCGTATCGCAATGCTTTTATTATTCTGCTCCCATTTAAGTATTCCCATGCATCTGAGTCTAGTTTAACAGGAAGACATACAAGCAGAGTTAGTGTCTGACAAACTAAAAGTCTCAGTTGTCAAATTGATTCTTAACATTTATGCACGGCCAGCTACATTTAATTGAGACACAGAGCACTCATCTTCTAAGACTGTATTGTAATCGAATTGGGATTACCAATTGTAGCGTGGCGTCGAGTTGAGATTAACTATGAACACCGCTACCAAGATATACGTGCCAAATAGATCAGAAGGCGTAAGAAGCTCGTTCCAAATGACTCCATAAAATCCCCGAGAAGCCGAATACCAGAAGGCAATTAATGGACCAAGTCGATGTTTATTTGCTGGCGATCTCGTGGCATCGAAAGGATACCGAGATCGTGCCAGGATACAAGCTTGGTTACAGAACGTAACCGAATTCGCGCGAAGTTACAATCAAAGTGTAAGTATAAGAATGGAAGCACAAAATAGCTGTCATTAGCACAGTCAAACAAAAGCACGTTAAAACAAACACTGGTACAGTTGGTTATAATAATAATTGTTTTTATTAAACCAGTCGTGTTCTCGTGATAAATGTGAGTCACTACAGTATACTGCTCTTCTGCAGGCGAATAAAAGCTCAGACGCTTAGCTATCCTGCTACCGATGTTATTGCTGGGGAAATTGTTTAATGACAGTGGTCTTGAAATATGGTCAGTGATAGATGTACAGACTAGAAATAAACACCAAACATACTTAAAGCTATCTTATAATGTATGACAGCAACAGTACCAGAGGCTTTTTTTTCTATTTTTATTCAGACTGATTTCAATCAGTTTACTCACTAGGAACAGGCAGCTCTATTTGCTAAACTGATTTGTTTCGTTACAGGCTTCAAGCACTATACTTAAGTGTACCATGATTCTTCCGACTAAACTGAACTATACGACAACCAAGAATACTAAACTAAGCAAGTGTCATAATTATTGTTTCATTTGCACAGACATGTTGCTCAAAGTAGTTAAATGGATATAATTAAGCCGATAAAACCAAAACACGAAATATAGGCCAGTCGAACTTACCTAACAGAAGACAAAGGATATATATATTGCTTTCAGGCTGAAGACATCAGTCAGTTGTTCATAAAAACATAGTATACAGTACAACAAACCTTTCTTCAGTAACACCATGCACTGACGGTCTATCCGGAAACAATAAACTATGTGATTAAACTATGACCTGGGATATCATCCCAGCGTTCAATGAACGTACTGTGTAACGCAGTCAGACGTGGCGAATAAACATTAAAGACAGCAAAATTAACAACATAATCTGGTTATTAAATTAAGAACCTTATGAAACGACAAAATCTGTGGTTACTTGAACGCACAGATGATCGTTATTACACTTGGCGATACATTAAGTTTACCTGGTTGCGTTGCGGATAAATTCGCCCGAATAATAATAATAATAATATTGCTTTCTGTTTGCCGTTTTACACTCTGTTTGAAGGATTAGTTTGCAAACTTTCCCCTCAAAGTTAGTCATGACGATCATTATATGTTGATTTACAATATATAAATAACATTGAACTTTTTTATTCTTTATACTTAGGTTTCTTGGTTATTTATTTGATGGTTGCTAATCTACCAAATATTAGTGTTTCAAATGATCCAAATCTAAATATTTGGATATTACAACGAATTCAGCATAAAGTTATGTATATAAGACAGTCACATCATGGACAGTCTTTATACTAGACTGATAATAATAACCCAGTTAAATAAGTAGGTTCAATACTAGCTATTGTGATCCTACCTTCTACAGATACATATCACGGTAATTCGAAATGTGATTCCGTTCCGATGTTTGACACATCCTCTTCACATAGTAGTGTAGAACTAACATGATTAGCATTCATATCGAATGCTTACAAATCTTTTAATTAGTGGCATTATGTGCCTCCTCACTAGCCTAATATGAGCACTAGTATGGATTTTTTACAGAAAGACTTACATTATGATGAGGTTTGGAATGGTTGAATGATGTCAGTAGAACGTAAATTACCCTTACTATGGAAGATGCACTAGTTGCTCTCCAAGATTTATTTTACTGTTTAGAATGTTTTGTCCTCTCAGATTCCTACATAAGCGAACTATTCATATTATGTTGTCGTAACTGAGGCGAAACTTCTAAAAATATATTCAGTTCACAAAGTTTGTGGTTTGCTTTTGAATTGCGTCAGGCGGTATTCTTGAAGTGGTTTGTTACTAAGGTTGGAACTGGTGATAGCATTCATATATACTTCTTTGGTAGATCAGTTTTTTGCCCTCACTGAAAAATATTGCCACAGTGTCAAAACCAGCTCATATATATAAACACCTCAAAAGGTATGCCGAAGAGCACATATTTTTTCTTTATGGACTATGTTTCCTGTGAAATATGCATATCCAAACAACCATGCCTTTAAGCCCAAATAAAAACTTCATAGCCGACGCCTAAGATAAATCAGTTGGAGTTTGAGCAACACGGTGAGAGTAAGTGTAGCATTGTAGGTGTTGAATCAGATAGTGTATTTCAGGAAAGGCTTTTTAGCAATTTTCTCAGACAAGTGTAATCAGAAACACCGCAACTAACGTCTTCTTTGGATCACACTTACTTAGCTCATACAAATACTACTTTCTATATGGGGATTTTCGACACTCTCACTACAACTCCTCACTAGCTGCGGCGTAAGTGAAATAAAAAATTAACTTATTGAAAGTGTGTCGAAGGGGTTCATGAACTTTGGAAAACATCCTTATCCGAACGCGGTTGATTGAGTCAGCGTTTGTGACTGTGTCATAAAAATTGGGAACATATAATAGTGTTAATCAGACTACACACTATTCTCATTTTTTTCTGTTTCGTTGAGATTCTTTGAAGATAATGCCTTCCTTTCGGGGATTTATTTCCTATTACTAAATTTTCAACTAGGAGGGTATAAGTGTTATAGTACTGTTTGCTAAAGACTCGAATAACATCTCTGGTTTTCTGACGCACCAATCTTTAGCATTCATCTAAATACTAAATACTCCTTCAGAACATATCGACGCCATCATCTAGACATGCTAAGTGAAGCAATTTGCTTCATGAACCACGTCACTTATTGTGGGAGTTCAGTCAGCCTCGATGGGTTCCTGGCTAACAATATCCCAGCACGGATTCAGTAGTCCGGTTGACTTAAAACCAACATGCATTACTTACCACCAAAGTATGCTACACACCGGTCGAGTATGTATTGTCCTGTCTGTGAAATAGCCCATAAATTTAAAAGACATAGGTAGGCTACAGGGTTTTAGTCGAGTATTTATGTGAAGGATTATTCACGCATCGCAGAACTTACACGTATGATACTAGACTGACACGGGAAACCGGCTGGTAATATCAATAAACCTCATTAAACGATGTGGATATGTTTTATGCCCCTATCACTTAGTCTTACACATAATGTTTGCTGGAGTAAAAATATTTTGGAAGAAAACTGAGGGGCAAAACCAAACGAGCTATATGCCCATAAATTTATTGGCTTTTGAAGCAAGTCGTTCACCTAGATTTAGACTATCTGATTAGGGTCCGTATGGTTCTCTTGACTAATGGTTGGAGACGGGTGACATAATTCAGAATCCGTTATAATGGTGTAGTTATTTTCATTTATATCCCTTAAATCATGTTTCAAAATTATCTTATGCATTTTAACTTGTGAATTAATTCATTGTTGAGTCACATCCTAGTTTTTTAGTCTTCTTTTACTACCACTGATCCTATGACTTTGGTATTGAATTCGGTAATTCTATTTTGCCGTGCTGTGATGTGCTGACTTGAGTTGATACACATATGTGCCAGGTTCCATGTTGATGATGACCCATTAACCTAAATTTTAATATAGTATACGATTTCATTAAAAACTTCTAAACCAATGTTTCATTAGTAGTAATTGTAGTTTAGATGAATTCAGTATGCGTACTGAACATGCCGAAGAAGTTTAAACATATGCCGTGAAAATACCTTATTCTTAACATACTTTGCTATCTATCGGTTCTCCGGATCAATAATACAAATGACGATGCATAATTAGTCGGTTTAGCTTTTCATTAAAACCCATCTCCGAAGATATACCACCAACCGAATATTTTTTTTATGCGGTCTGTTAGCAGCTTATATATTTAATTAGATTGGACTCTAGAAACTCATGTAAAAACCATAAATATACTAACGTTTTTGTTATTGTGCTTCTTACAACTATCTACCCTTGTTATTGGAAATATAATTTCATTCCTGATCAACCGTGTTCTGATCTGGAGACATTTCGAGTGAATTAGTGTCCAAGAATACTAAGCAATAGCAATACCTGAGTCATAATATGAGAAATTATAACAAGGTCCTGAATTTTAATAATGTTTTCAAACTAGTTTCCAGTCGAACTACTAATAATTGAGTGCTTGTTGATACACCACTTGGACTGATAGTTGTTTATGTGACATATTAATGCTCCTAAACTTACGCCAAATTGGTAATATTTGACTACTGGCTTTCATTTGTTTCAGAAAAGCAGATTTTCGAAAATGATTAGAGAGATTTCGTTAGCCAATATTGGACTCAACATCAGTTTAGTTTTTAACGTCTTACAAAGTTATTCGCATTATTAACTTGTTGCTGTGAGAAGTAATATCAATAGTTATTCTCAACGTAAAGTTCTGTTGGTGAAAATAAATTAAAGACCAGTGCTAGAAACACACTTCGATTTTCATCTCGAAAATCTGTATCTGTTTTTCATTTTTCTATCCTGTGTTTGAATTTTTCCAAACATCAACGAACAGTGTTTTAAATCACGTTCAAACAACTCATTTTACCAGCTTCTTGGTAATGACTGAAAGGGTTTACTATCCCTGGGCAGGTATGCACTTTTTTCTCCTATAACTTCTTAAGATCGATGTGAGAAGTTGTCTGTATTTCTTGAACGTGCTCACCTTCGGAACTTCCTCAATGCCATTAAGAAGAAATTAAAAATAAATGAGTGAGTCCCACTACATCAGTTTTGTAAATATCATTTTTAATTCGACATCATCACATTGTTGAATTTCCTTTCGAACACATTTTCAGTTATGTAAATGATTTAGAGTTCGTAGTAACTACAATCTTTTTCAGTCGTAGTTTAGATTTCATTACCTATTACTGAATTACTGTTTAAACTTCACTTGTCATTTCGTTTGATGATTCGTATTGTTTCGTTCCACTCCATCGTTCAGACAGTCTTATCTGAATTTCACAGCAGGTATTTAGTCCGAAGTTGTGAAGCACTCCACCAAGGGTCCTCTGTTTTAATGTGCAAACCATAGCTCTCACTATAGAAATCATAACTGTTGCTGGGGTTAATTATTCGATACCACCGGAAAACACCTTCAAGAATGTTGAATAGATTTCTGGAGAAACATTAGCCCAACACAAATAACTTCTAGACCTTTAAGTTCTACCAACTCGATCTAATTAATGAAAATAGGATTATTCTTATTGGGCTCGGTAAGCTATATATACTAAATCCAAAGTCGAAAAGACTTGTAAAAAATCATTTTTCACAATCGTAGTAAAGTACGCTTATGTAGAGTTCGAGTCTGCGAACAAACAAAACAGTTTATTCGTCTGGTTGAGTTCATTCAGATTTCTACCCCTCTTAAGCTGTCTCAGCTGTACCCCTCTGACGGCTTTTGAAATGTAGAAATAGTTGTTAAAAGCTTACTGTCCAAGCAACTAATTCAAAGCTCCACCACCAAAAAATTATGATGACTATTAAGATGACAATTACATAATAATATGATGATCAGCATCCAACATTATGACTGCAATAGCTAAATGCAAAATACCCCTGGATTATTATAATGTCGGTGTATTATTAGTTTTGGTATTAAGCTGTGGCTTTGTGTAAATGAAAGTTCTTTTTTTGGTTGCATCCCTCCCCTAAATAGGACAGTTGAAGTGTATCATATTTCTCGACCGTCTTCCTTAAGGCACAGTACGACTTAAGACATACGTAATGCTTCTAAAAGTTTCAACACAGTTCACTACTAATTGTCCACTTGCAACTCATTTACAAAATACGAGTTTATGTACTAGGGGTTGAACCAGATTGTTTGTGATGGCTAGTGGTACAACTTAACTACCCAAATCAAAGTAGCTAAACTGGGGTTCAAGCTTGTAACATACAGGTTGGAAGCTAGTTTCTTTAATAAACGGACACCACTTCACATAAACTCTCTGCTATTTCATATTTATTCATTTTTCCTAGGTTACTTTGTTATGATTTTTATTTTTAAAATCACTATTTCTCTTATCTTGTTGCTAACACTTCTTAAGTGGAGTATTGTAACTTGTACAGTTATTTACCAATTTGTTCATCATGCTTGTGTATCTGTGTTATGAATACTAGCAAAAGATCGCAAACTGAAAATTCGCACTTTAATATATATCGTTGGCAAATACAAAGCCATGTAAAGTAAAAATGTGCAATTCACATATCTTGTTCAAATTTAGTTTAGTGTAGATTAGGTTTACACCTAAGCATCCTGTAAAATTAAAAATGACAAGGATTCTCGTCATGTATTTTGTATAGTTATCTATCTTCTGTAAGCTGACTAAGTCATTATTCTCTTTCTATGTAGTTAATTTTTTTTGAGATTTTCTTCGCTATGCTTTTTATAAAAGAGAACAAACGATATGTCTATGTAAATAACCCAGAAGTGATCGTAAGGAGTTTGGTGATATAAGTTTGTTTATGTTTCCTGATAAAAAGTTGTGCAATTGTTTAATTTAGAAAGTGGTATATGAAGCCTAATTTTAGTATATTGTAGAGACTTACTGTTGACTATTACAGGCTTTTCCTTTCAAACCCCTTAGCCCTGACGATTTTGACCGGGTTAAACCTACTGATTTAGCTTGTCTTGGAATGACAGAAAACGAAATCAATCGACTTGTTAGTCAGCTAATAGAGGATGGGTTTTCAGTGAAGAATTTGCTATCGGATGGATATACAGACTATTCCTATTCATGGCCAGATCCGAAACCACATTCTGCTGCTGATTTTCACCGATCGAAACTGCTACGTAAAGTGAGTAGCTGTTCATCAGAACTCTTTGAATTTTAGGTTGTATTGCTTGTTATGATTTCCACTAGATAGCTTGCCATAAACGTGTGATGCCACTTGTGTTTAATTTTCTATCAAATAGTCTGATTTTCACTGTTGTTGAAAAATTATGTTCTACTGTAGGTTATTTAAGGTAAATGGAAAGGTAGCCCACTAACTTGTCAATAAATCAGAAATAAACTGACGACTATGAGAGCTCCATTAGTTTTACAACGAATACTAAGTATCTAATTTAAGTTCTTAAAGTTTAGTTTTTATTTCACGAAAGGTTTAAAAACACAGAATTTGAATTGTAACTTGTTTTTACTGTTTATTTACTTTAAAAATCTTCAGATACAGTAAATAGTACTTCAAAAATATCTAAACAACTGTGATATTATTTTTCAGGATTGATCTTAGATTCGTTGAATGGAGTCTTCGTTGTTGTAAGTTGTGTTTGTGAAATGTGATGAAATGTTCAATACTGAACACAATAAGAGGAGAAAGTAATCTGTAAGACTCTAAGTTAGAGCCTGTAAGAAGTTGTACGTATGTTTAATTAGATGATAAACGTTTTGAAATTGACCTTTGGTCAATAAAATTACAGGTCAGAATATGCTGCTCACTGAATGGTTGGAAAATTTCTAGGTTGTCCCTAATGCACTGATTGATAATCCAATCACTGCGGTCGTTCAGGAAGTCGGTTGCAACTTTTGAGTCACTGAGTGATGCTGGTTAAATTTTTTAAGGTGGAGTAATTCCTCCCTACATTCTGGTTACGATTTGCCGACGAATGATAGCCAGAGTAAGACTTAGATTCAACGGTCCCTCCGATATCTTCTAAACACCTATTTTCCAATACATACTTTGAATTTGTAGACATCAAATTCTACTATTGAATGAATAGAGGTAACCATGTAAGCTGGGTTCTCTAAATACCATATGGTTTCGTTTTTGTTCTAGCTGTTTGGAGGAAAACAGTCCCATACTAGTGCTCCAGTATCACCAGCTCATAGACTGAAACATCAATGTAAGGAAGAGTTCCCGATACAACCTTCTTATTGGAGCCAGCATCAAGTATCTGGCCGTTCCACCAGTTTTTCTCAAAATAGTCGTCAGAATATTGTTACTAACTCAGCTGCATTCACATGTCTTATTCCTGAGAAGGATATCAAACTCCATTCAAGAATTGGAGTTGGTTCGTTTGGCATAGTACGGCGTGGTGACTGGACTGTGCCGACGGGCGAAACTGTAAGTTTTTCACCATTTAGTTTTGCAATAGTTTGTAACCTCATGGTGACGCGTCAGTACATACAGTGGGAATTCATGATTATCCAGTTCAAACCCTAAAATACGTAATCCCAGTATAGAAGTTCAAACAATCCGAGTGTTTCACCCACTCATTCATTCGTTTAAGTGTGTTGTCTTTTCTGGGACGTGTGCTGCCAATCAGGACTTCCACGCAACTTTCCCTGGGCTCTCCATTTGTTGCCAGGTGTTTTTCATGGTCTTGACGTCTATGTTCAGTTCTCAACATCATGTGTTCTTTGGTCTACCATTTTTCCTTTTGTCTTGAGGATTCCGAATTCGGTCTTGCCTTGTGATGCGGTCCATTGGGCCCCGTAAAGTGTCCTATTCACCCTTAGTGTCTTTCTTATTTCGCCCTCAGTTGATAGCTGATTTTTGCTCTATCAGGGTAGGTTATTGTTAATGGTCTCTGGCCAATGGATCTGGAGTATCTTGGAGAGACAACTTGTTATATCCGAGTGGAGATTAAATTACAGGTAACTTCCGAGGACTATTCATGGACTAATATTCTATAAATATTCTTATTGTATAACTATTCAACAATTACATTATGTATATTTATATCCCTCTTATGACAAGCTTTATTTTGGCCTATAACTTATTATTGTACGATTTACGGTTCTTAAGTTATGTTCAGTTTATTAACTACTGCCTCCCACATTCACAGCCACTTTTTGGGCTTATTTGTGTACAAATATTATTTCCTATTTTATGGTACGTTGCGGTCTGTGTGATTGATATATAAACCAAGTATGCCTGAAATAAACGATCTGCTCTGATTCGAAGCTGGTATTGTGTTCTGGACTCAAGTGGAAGGGCTCGTAGGACATAGGACCAATAAGGACGCTAAACTGCCCACACCGGTTGAACGTCATTGGTTGGCCTAGTGTAAAGATCCGTATAAGTCGTATCCGGATTGTTCGATAGGTCGCGTGATAGCAAAAACAAGACATCCAAGGTCATAACACACTGTTTATAAATACCCCTACATTCTTAATGGCTTTGGTAGTTCTCCAAGTTTTTGCTTGGTACAATAAAACAGTTTGAATGTTGGTGTTGAAAATTCTGACTTTTGTCTTGGCTGGTAGTTCTCTTAAATTTTGAGAATCCTATCCCTGCTTTGCCAACTCATCCCTTTACATCTGACTCAAATCATCTATATCTGACAACAATACTCCCCATATACATAAAAGCTTTCACCTCTTCCAGAGTTTCTCCATCAAGTTTGGTTTATTCGGTGTTCACTGTTGTACTTCAGGATCTTGCGTTTTCCTCGGTGAATGTTAACGCCTCTTTCTGAAGAGGCCGCTGCTACACTGGTAGCTTTCATATGCTTTTGTTACTGTGTATGGGATAGAGCAGCTGTCATCTGAAAAGTCCAAATCATCCATCTATGCTTCTCTTGACATATGGATATCTTCATAATCCAGTCAACAACCAGTTGTGTCATACATTTGTAGTCCTCATACTTATTATGATCTCATTTACTCGGTGTTTTGAAGAGATACACTTCTTTCCAATCTGTTGGTATTTGTTTTACCTCTCAGCTATTCCTTCAGAGGACGTGGGTCATCTATTCAGTTTTCTCTATTTGACTGGTATGGTGTCTAGTCATGATGGTTTGCCATTGTTAGCTTATTTGATGGGCCTTGCTAATCTCTGTTGTTGGTGTTGTATCGTCTATAGGAAGCTCTGTGTGTGCTCCATAAATGTCCGATGTGTTCAGTGGTGGTGGTCTATTGAAGAGCTCTTCAAAGTACTCTACCCGCCTGTTATTACTACCTTGAAGCCACAGTGATTGGTTTACCTTCCTTCTTCCTGAGTGGTCGATATGTTATGCCCTGTCTCTCTGAAAGCTTCCTGGTTGTGTCATACTATTCTCTCACATTTACTTCTCTTTTAGCTTTTCCGTATTTTCCGAGTCATTTACATATTTCCACTTGTCACCTCCGATGTTATTCTTCACTCGTTAGTTTACTTCTGTATATTCTACCTGTGTCTTGGCTTTCTGTACCTTTGTTCAGCTGTTATTAACTACTGTCTTCTGGTGTTTCATTTCTTAAATATTAGCTAGCCTGTTTACAGAGATCCATTTTTTGTGTTGGTGCCTCTTGGGGGCTCAGTACTTCGTGGCATGTTGAAGTTATTTCTTCTTTAATCTCTTTCAATTTGCCTTCTATAATGTTTTCGTCTTCTTGTAGTAGATCTTGCAAGGCTTTGAACTTGTTTCTGAGATATGTACTGAACTCAGGGAGCTTGTCAGCAAGTCGAATAAAGGTTGTATTAAACTTTCACGGTGCTGCCTATCCAGTTGTTCAGTGCTTCTCTAGCTTTAGTTTTAGTCTTGCCATCACCAGATGATGGTCTGAATATGTATCAGCTCATCTCTGTTCTTACGCTATGAAGATGTGATCAATTTGGTTCTCCATAGTGTGAAGCGCATATGGCCTGGCGAATGGGTTGATGGGGAAGAACAGATCTCCCTATGACAATGTCGAAAGCACGTAGGTTTACCATTCCCTCACCATGGTCGTTTCTTTACCACAGTCTAGGTCTCTCCCTGATACGTTCATACTTGCTGTTGTCCATCCCGACCTTGGCGTTAAGATCATCCATCAAGATGAGGTATCGTCCTCCTAGCTTCCAAAGAATCTCGGCTTACACTATAAGGGACATGATAACTCTTATATATGAAGATCCTTTAACTCCCAGAGCAGAATTTAAATGTTTCTTTCGGGCTAAAGTTGTTTTAGTAAGATTTTATTTACGAGGTTTTTTTCTAACCCCATGTCCAATCCTTCACCTTTGCCCGGGCTCGAGACAAGCAGCAACCCTAGAAGGGTTCCAAGTATATTTTTGTGTCATGTAGCTATCCAGATTTTTTTCTTCAACTTTTGTTAAAAAGCTAATGATTGTGTCTTTCAGCTTAATTGTTTTTAATAAAAACTTTTGTTCCTACAGATTCCTGTGGCTGTGAAATTATTAAAACCAGAAGCAATGAAAAGCGATTTATTCACAGGATTCTTGTATGAAATTCGTGCGATGCAATGTCTTTCACATCCTAGTTTAATTCGTCTTTATGGAATTGTACTATCTAATCCAATTATGATGGTAATTTATTCTACGGTATTATATTTTAGAAAATTTTCTCTTTTGTTTACCCGAATCCATTAAGTTTCGAACCTTGCACAGAGATGTAACTCTAAGCCAAATATACAAATTTGGGATCGGCAAATTATTTATTTTCTGATTGTGAACTTATCTTATAACATAGTGGTTAGGCTTACTTAACGTGAATACAAAACTGGTCGGAATGTAAAGTTATTTGTTACTCATTATAAAAGAGATCTGTATTTTGATATAAAATGGCTATCAAACTGAACACAGTCTTTACATAAGAGTTCATTACAGTTTGATGTCGTTAGAAGTATTTAAATAAAAATAAACCTAGAAGATAAGAGATCTAATAATATTATCAATGACATTCGAGTTAGATTAATTTCACATGCCTTCTACTCCAAGATATAGAATATATATGTAAAGGAGTTATCATACAATAAACAAAGAGATGGAATGGAGGGAAGGAATGGAAGAATGACAAAGTTTTTTTTCATTCCTTCAAAGTGTATTGGCTTTTGATTGGCTTCTTTCATCGAATAGGATCTTATGCTTTGATTAATGAATTCTCAACTGTTAAAAAATGAAAGAAAAGAACCTCCATTAATAGATGATATGAAGTCATACTTATAAGCCAAATGACTGTTACTCGCAAAACAGAATCAAGACGCAAATTGAACTGATATTTTCAGGTTAAGAGAGCTACCAAATGGTGTGGTGTGTGCTACTTATATTGATATAAGTAGTATATGTCGCGAGTTAAAACGTAATATCTGGCCGCAGAAGATGAGGTGAAGATCAAGAAAGGAAGAGCGAGAGCACAATGGAATTTGTAAGAAAACGCATGTACAATGGAATGGGAGACAATGGATTAGTGTTTGCAACGGAAACAGTCCAGTTTGATATGATGCATTGATATTTTGCAAATTGACGATTGACTTTATGGTATTCAGATTTTTATTGAGATAGTCTGTAATTTTGTGCTAAATACATTCGATTGTCCCCACCCGTGTTCTTGTTCACTACAATGGGACAAATTTTCCTTTCCGTTAAACAACATGCTTATATATAAAATATTAACATAAGAATAAGAATAAATGTTATAAGCGATTAGGGGAAATAATTTTTTTTAGGTCACTCACACTTCAGTCAACTATGACTTTGGTCATCATATCACATCATAGCTATTATGATTCATGTATAACTTATTTTGATCATTATATAGCTAATAATCAAGAGAGTCAAATAAAAAGCTAAAAGTTTTTCATTTTAATATTTATTAAGAATTACAATCTATGTGGCCGTATTAAGAAAATGTTTTGAGAGCAGTTAGTTTATGCATTGTTCTTAACATCTCATACATATTGAATGTCATCTATACCACCATTTTTGTTTATATATATATATATATATATATATATATATATATATATATATATATATATATATATAATGAAATGTCATTCGTGATACTTTCATTTCAGGTAACTGAATTAGCACCATTAGGCAGTTTATTATTACATTTAAGAGCTCAATCTATATGTGCCAATAATAATAATTCTTATAATAAAACAAATGAAGTAAGAGCACATTTCCCATCTGTACCTCGTGCTCTTCAAATTGATTCATTATGGGATATGGCTATTCAAATTGTTCATGGTATGGCTTATTTAACATCTCAAGGACTAGTTCATCGCGATTTAGCAGCTAGAAATATTTTACTTTCATCAATTTCAAAAAATGAATATCCTCAAATTAAAATAGCTGATTTTGGTTTAGTTCGATCATTAGAATCATGTACAGTAAATAAGAAAATATTAAATGAAAATGAATCAAATGAAGCAATTTATACTGGATGTTCAGAACAGAAAATTCCATTTGCCTGGTAAGTAATTAACTCATAATCGTGATCACTATTATAATGTGCTATCCAAATATATTAAGTTCTTCCCGACTATACATCAAAAATCACATCATTAACAAGGAAAATTTTATTCAATAAGATTAAGTGGATAGACAGACAGGCAGACACCATACAATTAAACATAGCTCTAAGCACTTTTTGAAGTATAATTCAATAACAAACCAAAGCCGAGACCAATAATAGTAAATGAATGTCAAAGTAATATTTATTTGTGTATCAAGTCCCAAGCTGATATTTATCTAAACTTTATCTTGTCAGGAATGAAATCACATGTTTATATTTCATTTTTGTTCCCGAATGCCCTGGTAAGGCTGACAGTAGGGAGAGCCAGCTCTCCCTTTGGAAATGCTCTTACACGGCCACGTGCATACCAACCACTGCCAGGGAAGTCCTACTCACTGCCTTCTCGCGGCGGGGGTGTTGTTTACGAAAGTGAGAGGACGAAAAGCGAACATCCGGCACTTTAACCGGGTTGATGGTCACGGAGGATCCACCTAGCGGAGTTGGAAAACACCGATTCCAAACCAATGGTGTACATGGGCTCCACTATCCTGAGTGAACAAATGGCGTATAAACCAATCATTGGTGATCGGCTACCATGGGACTGCATCTTCTGACTTTGATCCACTGCCTTGTGGATCAAACCTTTAAGTCGAAGGCTGCTGGTGTGGTCTCCTAACAAAACCACCTACTTCGTTTTTGGCACCCGGACAGTATCCCAGCCCTCACACAAATTGAATGATTTATGTGGCACATATCTATTTGGTGCCTCCTTTTACTAATGTTTATGTGTTTAAATGAATAAATAAAATAAATAATTCTCTTCACATTGTTAACTACCTATTTTTAAGCAAAAAATCGTTTTCGTCATACTTTTTAATTTAGACTTTGTGATGGAAACAGACATCATACGATGTGTTATGTGGTTGGAGCTAATCAATAGGAAATGCTATAAGACGTAGTTTTCGCGTTAGTTGTCACTCGTCAACAAGGCATACCTACAATATTGAAAGAATTAATGTTCACAATTAAATCCAAGCCCACGTAGCCCAACTTCACAGTCTGAAACGTTACCACTGAATTGCCTGTGCAACGAAAGAGATATTTACAACATAAATATATAAATATAATATCTTATGGTTGGCAATGCATTTGTTGTAACTTACTGTGATTCACAAACATTTATGGAAAACCTAGTAAAATAGATAATGCTAATAAAAACAGTAGCTAAGTGAATCGACTGATATTATTAAAAATTATTTTATGCTAATCTCAAACTTTTTGACCACTTTGATCACAAGTAATCTGTCTTAGAATGCACTAGAAATAAACGTAAGTAGGAGGACAATAGCATGATTTGATTTATAACAGTGATAACTGTAGGATAGAAGTTGTGTTAGCATACTGTGACTACGACATTCTCAATGATCCAGCTGACTTTATAAATTTTTTTAATAATCTCCCAACACTAAACAGAGTGTTAGCTGTCTTCCGATTTAACCTAATCTATCCAAAGGCTAATATAGTCTATGTTCATTGATAGAAACCAACTGTTTCAATCAAAACACACTGAAACTGCAGCTATATTAAGCAATCTCAAGGCTACGTTTGGCGTCTTGGTACTTCGTACTCAGTTATTATCATATTTAAAGTTCCAGAATTTAGGATTATATAAACATTTATTAGGTCACATCGAACTAAATGATGATTTTAGTACGATAGATTCCTGACTGCTGCATGCCTAGCTTGGTCGCAAATAGGCAGAAGTTGATTCGTCCATTTTTCAGATAACCAGAGTCAGAGGATAAGTCGAGATGTAAGAAGATCCCGATGTAAATTTCAGTCCTTATACTACTTTTTTTGTTCCGGTTTACTAAAATATACATTGCTACCTCTTAATTTTTGTTCTCACTTGAGATGAGTCAAGTGAAGTGTCCAAACAATATTAAATTGGAGAATGTAACAACTGTGATTATCACAACAAGAGCTATGAGTTGTAATCGATCTGCGTGAAGTAGCTGATAAACTATAGGGTCCTCTGTTATTATTATTATTACTATTATTATTATTGGTAGTAGCCTTCTTGTTATTGTTGCGTTTTTTAAATGTTTAGGAAGTCAGTAATTTCCCTTGACGAGAACACGAAAAACACCTTATTAGTAACTATGATTTCTGTCTTACAGCGTTTCTATTGTACATCTGAATGACGTGCACATTTTATCCTAAGAGGAACTAGGGCAAAAAGCTTTTATCGCCCTTAATTCACTGCAAGGTATTTAAATTTTACATAGCTATAAGTAGATTTTTTGTGTTTTGTTGTATCTCTAGGTCCGCTCCAGAATCTTTGCATAAACGAACCTTTTCTGAAGCAAGTGATATTTGGAGTCTAGGTGTTACATTCTGGGAAATGTGGACCGGTGGTGCAGATCCTTGGTCGGGTCTTACTCCTGTGCGTTTGTTAGAGCTCTTAGATTCTGGTCGTAGGTTGGCATGGCCCCGATTTACCTGTCCACGTCGTTTATACCAGATAATGTTAGCTTGTTGGAGAGCTGAACCGTATCGTCGACCGACCTTTTCCTACCTCGCCGAAAGATTAGATCAGGTAAAATTTATCCTTCAATGTACTGCAAAACTTATGAGTCTTTATTGATTGCTGTTTCAATTGGCAATATATACTGTGGTAAAAAAATACAACAAATAATCTACATTCTTGATGCTACTCATAACTTTGAAAGGTCTTTAATGCCCCCATATCTGCTTATCGTGTAACAATATTGAGACTTCAACTTCTAACTTGTTAACTATTATCTCCATCATCTGGAAATCGGTTATCAATCAGTTCTCCATTCAACAATAGTTCACCAAAGCATTAAAGCTAAACCTACAATCTATAACTGCTAATTATCATTATTCAAGTGGACAGTAGTTGCAGGTTTGTAGTAGGATTGTATGGTGATCCACAAATTAACTGAAGTACAATGTTTATATGTTTGTATCTTTAATTTATCACTTGGAATAGCATACAGCAGTTACTACTCCGTTAGTTAGTTGGTTAGTTGATACAACCACTCTACTATTACTGGTTAGCCTCAACAATGTAATGGTCATTTCAATTCAGAATGGTTTCTACCAAAGTTGGTTAGTTGATACAACCACTCTACAATTACTGGTTAGCCTCAACAATGTAATGGTCAATTCAGTTCAGAATGGTTTCTACCAAAGTAATATACCTTGTTTATTAACAGTGCCAAAATAACAGTTCTTATAAATCATTCTAAAATTTTAATCGGGATTCAAAATGCTCCATTTTCATTGAAATCATGGACTAATCCAAGTTATACCGCCATTGAAAACCTGGGAGCTTTGTATAGCCGTTTCGCCCTAGTATGGGACTTCTCAACTGTACACATCTACGGTCCCTCATACAGGAATCTGACCTATGATCTCCTGTCTCTAGTGAGGAACCGTTACCAGTGAAGTTAATCCGTATCGGGTGTGAGGCAGTTACCAAACGAAGACGATGGAAGATAGTCGTGTAATCTCGTTGGTTAGTTGAGATTAGACATCAACACTGTTGGATGCCGGCTCAGTGGTCTAGATACTTAGCGAGACCGAATTTCCTGTGTTCGATTCCCACGTATAAGATCATGGGTGCGAGCTGTCGAGGAGTCCCATACTATATCGAAACGGCCGTCCAAGTTTTCAGTGATGGTCTAGCATTGATCGGTTCATGATTTTAATGAAATTCAATAATCTCTACAAGCTCATACTGAGAATATTTTATTTTATCGTTACAATCATTTTATGTGTTAGCCGATTCGTTGCCCCAAACGTGAGTAAAATCATTACCGTTTTATAAACAACTGTTTAATGGTGTATTGATTGAGAGAAACTGAGAGCTTTCAGTCTTCACACATTTTAATTTAGTAGTGTGCTTTTTGTCAATAATTGTTCACACTAAGCACTTATATATTACGATGGAATAAACTTTCGTATAATTGACCTTGTATTTCAATCTATTCTGACTACTGCTTGTAATCTGCTAATGTTCAGTTTGTGAGTTTCCTCTTACCTTGCATTGTTCGAATCCAAGAAAATTAAAAATATAAGAATACTCACTTCACTATTTCGAATTCTTTCATTATGAAATGTAAGATTCGTTGTTTGGATATGATTTTGTGTTTTTTTAACCATTTGTTTGTAATTCTTTATATTTGTGACAAAAATGATAGATTCGTCCAACTATCGTCATGGCAACTCAAAATCTTGATGAAGCTGATCGTTTAGGCTTAGAAGCAGGTGATATTGTTATTATTATTGACGGAAAACCCCGTGAATTTTGGTGGCGTGGTCAAAATAGACGGACTGGTGAAATAGGCTCATTTCCACATGGTATTGTTCAACTTTGTAAAAACACCACACAGACATGTAAGTTATGCTTGTCTATGTCCACATAGAACATTCACTTGAATAATCAATGTGCTAGATGCATTTTATTCTGCTTTTCTTAATATTTCTTTAACTGATATCTGGAATTTTGATTCTTTATACAAATCATATTCGTTTATCCTATTATAAGGTAAACTTTACAGGAGAATATACCTGATAGACTGTCAGAAATGAATATCTTTTAACTGTATATTTTAATGATTAGTTTTGTTCGTTTAGTATTTAAACTGTAAAATGAAATTCATTGTTTATACGAAGATTTGTCAATATTTAAACGAATCATTTAATAGAAACTGTATTAAAATTCTATTTGAAATAATCTCAGTAATTAACATTTAAATAATTCCAACGTTCCATCAGGCAAACTTGTCTGGACTTCTGTGTAATAATCAAAATGATCAAAGAATGTTCCAGACAAGTTTGCTAGATGAAACATTGGAACTATTTAGATTTTAGTCACTGAGATTATTTTCAATAAAATTTTCACAAAAGTAAATATTATCGTGAAAATATCATCAAGCTAAATGCTTGATCTAGTTTGTCAGAATTGATAAACATTCATATTATCAAGAACTTTCAATAAGACTACAAATTGCTTTATTTTTGTTTTCACCTAAAGTTTACAGTGTTACTTTTCACTGTGTACATTAGTTCATCTTCTACTGATAAGTATCTTAAATAGGAAAGTGAAGGAAAATTTTCACGTTGAGCACGTTGCATATAACATTCTTTATACTAGCTATGACAATTCTGTAGAAGAATATATATCATTTTATGGCTGTTTTTTTGTTTCACGATAACGTCATCGCGGGCATCAGAATACAACTAATTTAAAGCTAATGAACAATGTTTATTTTCATGATAATCATTCTGAACTAGTATTATGTGGTGGTCGGTATTCGATATATCCTTCAAACTTCGTATGCAATTCGTCTTGATAACCGTCCTATTTAACCCCCAACGGTATATTATTCAGAAGGCGAATACGAAGCGTTGATTACGTTTATTTCGAGACCACACACACAGATGTTCAAAATTACAGATGCATAAAACGAGCATTAAGAGTTGTGTCGAACGACAAACGGGCAAGCGAGCGACTGAGCGAATGTAAGTAATCGAGTACAATCAAGCGAGCGAGAAAGCAGAGTCAGCCATATGGATAACGTGGACATATATATAGCATGTGAAATTAATGAGTAATCGAATCAAATAAGCGGTTAGTAGTGAGACTAGCAGAGTGACATAAATGCGTAGGCCGTAAGCAATATTCAAGCATGCGTATTTCATACAAGCACAAAATAATAATAAGGGTACAATAAATTGTTATAGTGCGGATGGCTTTGTCCGCTAAATAAGTTAACAAAAGGGCTTAACTGAGTTAAATGAGAATAAACCCATTTGCACGTGAGTCGCTATAATTATACCCCAGTGCCCTATTCAGTTAAGTTATACACTTCTTATGGTACACCAAACTAACTACACGAATGAAGATATTTTAATAATCACTAGTTTGATTGCCAATTCGAATAGTAATGTACAGAAATAACAAATATGTCTCTAGACTTAAACAAGTTTATGTAAACTGAGACCTTCTATGAATACAACGCTAACTTCCTCTAATAGTATGCCTCGCTTACAATCTCTAACCTGTTGTTTGATTTTGAAATGGTTTATGAGCACAAACACATGATGTGTATACTCACCTATATCGTGTCAACTGGAGAAATTTAAGTTTGAATCTTGCTGCACAAAACCATATCCAAATGTATTCTACATACATTTTATATGTACTTGCTACATAAGATAAACATTAAATAAGTTAGACAGGTATTTTTTTATCACGCAAGTTAATCAACTAGGTAGTTCTAATGGTGGGACACATTACAATATTTCGCGCTAAATTTAACTTTAAATAAAGATGATTTTCTCGCCTTTCTAACTGAATTCATTTTTTGTTCTTTTCTCTCAATATAGTTGATGATATAAATCAATCATCGCGTCGTGATTCTTTGTCACATAATGAACATATTAATAAAAATCAAACCGAATCGAGTTTATTACAGTACAACATATCGCATACGTAAGTATACTAAGCTGAATTAATTATCTAAGGATTAATAATGCCAAAGATTGTCTGTTAGTCTCAAATATTTTTTTCAATTGCATTTTGAAAAATCCATCATCCCTACATTTTTTAATTCTCATTACCATGTCAAATCTCAACATATTTTGTTCTTTGTTCTCGTTACTAAAATTCGCAACTAGTTCAATTTGGATAAAAAAAAGTATTGAGTTAACTTTAACCACATTTCATCACGATAAAAGTCACTTTTAGCGCTGATTTCATTCATATTACTTCCTCACACTGATAGGATTTTTGTATCTGTTCCAGTAAGTGTTTTTATGATAGGTTCAGTTCCTGGAATGATTGACAAATATCCAAACTAATACAGTAATTTGCACCTAAATTGAAATAATAGAATGGAGTCAAAGTGAATTGCTAATACTTCATTATGAAGTATATCAACTAGCTATTTCATAATTGAGTAATAAATTATATAAACATAATAAAAATTGTATACATTTCATTTAAACTATATTGGTCATTGAATTGAAATAAAGAGAATTCAGGGAAGAAAATTCTCTTTTCGATGAAATCATTTACTTTGATCGTGTATTAAGAAGACGATTGTCAGAACTATGTGATATATTGCCGTAATACATTTCGAACAACCTGATCACACATATAGTTTTTAAAAACATTTATATATGAAAAGAAAAGGTCAACTAGGCAAATAGTGAGTAAGAAGAAACAAAGATGATAAAGAAAATAATATGAAAAACTAATGTGAATGCTCATCACACTGGACAATAAGCTAATATTACCAATTGAATATTCGAGTCAATCTAAACTAAACCACCATTAAAAACCTGGAAGCACTGAAATACTGTTTCGTCCTAATATAGGACAACTAAACAGTGCACATCCACGATCCCGCACGCGGGACTCGAGTTCAGAACCTTCAGTCCCACGCACGAATATTTAACTTCTAGACCACTGAGCCGGGATCCAATGGTGTTAGTTTCTAATTTCAATATTATCAGGTTAGGTTTAAAGAGAGAACAAACCGTTTTTGAATACATAAAATAGCGTTGAATTTTCATATAGCTATGGCTTCCATCAACCTTAGTATACACACTTCAACACTTCTGTACAACATTACAAAAGTCGTGTTAAGATCAATCAATGTTTACCATAAATCTTTATCAAATAGTTATAAATATACAAACTGTTGTGACTTTATGTCAGGCTTTTTATCACGTGATTTATCCACCAATCAAAATACGACTTATACAATCTTAGCACTGTGCCAAACCAATGACGTTCGATCGGTATGGGCAGTCTGGCGTCCTTTTTGGCCCTATGTCCGCTTAACCCGTCCACCTGAGTCCAGAACACCAAATACCAGCTTCCAATATGCGAATCGAATCATTTATTTCAAACATACTGGGTTTATATATCAACCAAACAGACCGCAACGCACCGTAAAATAGGAAATAACATTTGTACACAATAAAGCCAAAAAGTGACTGCGAACGTGAGAGGCAGTAGTCAATAAACTGAACATAGCTTAAGAACAGTAAATCGTATGGTAATAAATTATGGGTCAAAATGAAGCTTATAACAAGAGGAATATAAGTATACATGATCTAATTATTGAATAGTTATACCATTAGAATGTATAGATGATATTAGTCAATTAATATGTTTCAGAAGTTACTCGTGATTTAATCTTCGCTCGGATATAACACAAACATACAACTTAAGTAAATGATTTCGTCGAGAAGAAAATTTTCTTCACTGAATTCTCCTTTTTTTATTCATTTACACAGTGGTTTATATTGTAATTATATATATAAATTCTTTGTAATAATGTATTTTGTAACGTAATTTATTAGAATACTTATGGTTTTTGTAATTAATTTTTAAATTATTATTTGTTGATTACTGTGATCGAAATGTTAAAGAATCTATAATTTAATTGAATGTCGTTATAACTTGTGGCCTGTGCTCCCTGCTAATGTATAACGTAACGATGCCGCCAATTGGAGAGCAGTGACTTATCGATCGGACCAGTGACGCGTAAAACCCGTACAAACAGTCTAGAATACTTATCGGTCCTGCTTCCTGCCTAGCCCAGCTAGTGAAGTCCACAACACCAATCTCAACCTTTGAGATATGAATCATTTATTTCAAACATACGGGGTTTATATACCAATCAAACAGACCACATCGTACTATAAAATAGGAAACAATATTTGTACAAGATTTGGCCAAATGTGGCTGGGAATGTGGGAGGTAGTGATTAATAGACAGGGCATTATTCAAGAATGGTAAATCATCTAATAATAGTTCATAAGTCAAAATAAGGCTCATAGTAAGAGGAACATGAATATGAGTAGTTTATTTATTTAACAATCATACGATAAAAATATACGCATAGTACTGGTCCATAACTGGATCCCAAAAGTTGATCAAATTTTGACTAATAGTTTTTTTTCTTTTTAAGTAGTATAGATTACTTTTGGATAAAATAAGTATTATTTTTGTGATCATTTTCTTTCAAGTTTGTATTGTTATTTAATAATCTCTCTTTGTATGAGTTTACGTGTCTAAAATATTTCATTCTTCTAATTCGTGTAGTTATTGTGACCGGTCTCCTACTCCTATTGATGAAAAATGTAATGAAATAAAAACTAAAAACTTATTCAATTGTTCAAATCACAATCTCTTACCATTTGATGATAATTCGCTATTGATTGGAACTTCTACATTTAATGATGTAGAAAATGAATCAGTATGCCGTACTATGGATTCGTATTCTTCGTCTTATGGATGTCTGTTCACTAACTTATCACTTTCAGATGCACCAGGTTTGGATAAATATGACGATGATGATGATAATAATAATAATGAAGGAGAGGAAGATGAGCGAAGAATTCTTGATAAAACACCTAATTCAACTGTAGGATTAAATGCTTATAATGTGGAATTACGAAAATGTCCCAAATCTGAGTTAATAAACAGTCATAGAAAGTCAGTTGCCAACTATGTTGCAAATGGCTACAATGACTATGAAGGTAAATTTCACTAATGTTTTTAATATTTTTGTCGTCAGTGTAAGTTAATTCTGTTTCATATCATTTCATTTTTCTTAGCTTTATGTTTCGAATTATCTTCATATTTCATTTACTTTCATTAATAAACGTAATGTCTTGATGTTCTGTAAGTGATATATCTGGTTGACACTGATCTTCTAACAGCTTCTTAGTCATCCAAATAAGTTCTTCACTTGAGTTCTGAATAGAAAACTAACTGTTGTTAACTTAAAGGCTTCTAAAATTATAATAAAATTAATAATTATATCGGTAATTATGCGATCAGGATGTGGAAAAGTCTATTCTTCTAGAATTCCAGGGATTTTATATTGGACACTGATTGACGTATGTATTTTTAGCCATTTCCCAGTTTCAGAAGAGTCCTGAGAAATTCTCAAGGGTTCTCAGTAATTAGAACGCATGGTCAGTATTTGCATATAAGCTACATTTTTGAAATTGTCAGTAATCCACTGACGATAAAAAATAAATTTTTAATGATAATTGAAAGGATATTATCAAAGTTGTATGCTTAATTTGTCTACTTCTAGAATTTTAGCATCCGTAAAAGTTTGTTCATAATAAAATAATTGTAATGGGTTGAAAGCACTCAGTCTTTTTAGATATCAATCATTTTGAGAAACTAGATAACAGTATCATACATTTAACATATTATTTTAACCAGTTAATACCTAAACCCAACTAGGAAAAAGATATAAAAGTTTTGAATTATTTTAAGATTTGCAATGCAAGATAGTCGCGCAATGTCGTTGATTAGTTGAGATTAGACAACAACACCGTTGAATTCCGGCTTAGTAGTCTGTAGTTTAAGCGTTCGCGCACGAGACCTTAGGTCTTGTATTCGAGTCCTGACTGCAGGATTGTGAATGTACACTGCTGAGGAGTCCCATACTAGAATGAAACGGTGTAGACTACCTGGTTGGGGACCGCGAGATGATAGCAACCGATGGTTAAAGACCCTGAATGACATGGCTCAAAATCGTTTGCAATGGCGCATGTGCATACACTCTTTGTGTTCTCCCAAATTTTGATCTCGTTATTCCTCCTTGTCTCCTTTTTTTCTCTTCCCAAATTTGTTTCACTGTATTATACTCTTTAAATAACATCTCCAAACACTAATTTTCCCGATTACTGCTTATACTCTTATTACCTCTACCACTGCGGGATTTGAATCGACCACTACATCTGTGTGCTAATGTGGTGTGGCAACTCGAACTGATGTACGTACGTACGAAGTTCTACGTTGTTACTGACTAACTGACTGTATAATGCTTCCAGGTTTTCAATGATGGTCTAACATTGATCGGTCAATGATCTCAATAAATGAAAATAGTATTTATTAGACAATCGGCAGATAAGTAACAAAGATGGAACTTTTATAACTATACTACTTTGGGCTATTATTATTTTAATTGTCTATGTATAAAATATTTTGTTTTATGGTGTTTTCAGATTGCTCTTATCATAATTTTTAATTTAAATCATCAAATGTTCATAGATCTTTCCGCGTTCACAAATTATGATTCATTAATCATACACCTATTACTCAGTTTTACACTGTAAATAATCTATTTATGAACAGTTTGTGTTTCTCTACTAACGCTATGTCTTGTAACTATTTCATACCACCATATATCTTTTCGAGTTCTAATAACTGGGCATTGGAGCATAGGAGAATCGGCATGTACCAATAAGTGTTAGGATAACAGGTCTTTTGTGTTATTGTCTATGTGTAGGGCATTATTATTATTATTATTAGTTCAGTGATCCTATTTACTGTGGGGGTATATAGTAGTTGAATTCACAACCGTATTCCTTCTGGTCATTATGTTATTCTCTTTTCATTTCCTGTAGTTTGTATTTATAATCCCATAACAATGTTGCCACCACCTCCTGGACCGGAAGAAAACGAGACTGTCATCTTTGCAGATGACGTTAACAACAAAAAGTCTTCTGATGCTTCTGTACAATCTACAAAATTTAAGGATAGTGTTAAACATTTATCTGATAAAGATAATAATCCTAATAAATCTGACATTAGTACAATGAGTAATAGTCATCAAGTTGAAAAACACAATATATCATCAATGTCTGAAAGTATAACTCCTTCGAAAAAACATTCATTTTCGCTTGACAATTTATTAGATGAAGTTTCTTCTATCAGTGCCAAAGATTTTGATTGCCAACCATCAGCCCCACCTTTAATTGATCTTTACAGTCCTGTACCAGATCCGTCAGCATTTATCCCCAGATATCGTATTACGGTAAGTTTTCTTGTTCTTTTTCAATTGTTATTGACAAAGTAATCATTTAAAAGTCTGTTCCTTAGTTTATTTTGATTATCTCTAGTCTAACCTTGGTTAATTGGTCGGTGTTGTTAGATAGAAATAAATAGAAAAGCGGACAGAAAATTCTCATCGTAATTCAAACTATTTTGTTTTCAGTTGATTAGTTGTGTCACTGTTTGTAACACAGTTGTTAATCCCATTTCAATGTCAATTCAGTTTCCGATTGTTAAATATGAAAAATATCTTTTGAACCAGGGATATGAAATCGATGTTTGATCCTCTCATGTGATGAATGGATTTTTAATTGTTAGAATAAGATAAAAGAATCTCAATTGGTAGATGATGTACAGTGATGGCTGGTCACATGACGGAACAATTGACTTAAACCACTAATGAAGCCGATTTCAGAAGGAAATACAGCTGCCCAGTAGGATAGACTTCGTCCATTTGATAATATAAAGTGCTTACATTTGACTTATTTATCCACATCAACGCCGTCTTCTCATTGTTCCATCGAAATTTATAAAGGGGACTAATCGCTATAACTTCATTACAGAGAAATATACATGATTGGATGTCATAAGCGATTAAATGTAACCAATTTTGTAGGTCACTCTCACTTTAGTTAATTAATACTTTACTTACACATCATATTACTCATAATACTATCAGTATTGATTTTATTTCAATTAATTCACTGTATAGGATTATTTATTAAGTATCCAGAAGTACTAAAACAACCCTCAACCAAAATGCATAATAAGGTTTTAACTTATTACATCTTGGTCAATTGAATAATAATTCCCTCTGCTGTTACTCACAAATCTTTATGTGCTTACTTCGTTGTATTCGTTAATTTGAAACTGTGAAGTATTGAAACAGTTCTTCATTGTTTTTAGTGATATTTAAGTTTCTGTATGGTCGGTATTCGACTGCCATAGATTTTATCCTATATCATAGATATTAAAATCTGGAACTCATAAATTACAAACTGTAAGTTGAAAAAAAATCTGTAGCTCTATTACATTCCATCTCACCGAGGCCTTTAAGTGGTTCTCATTACTTTCTTTATAACAATGATGATAAAACCACTTTATAACGTTGGTATTGATTATACAAATTTGATGGAAACGTGATCTTAGTTTTCTTTGTTTCTATTTATTGAAATATATGTTGCGTTTGTACATCAATCTCTATAGACATATAGGTTAACAGGTAATCAGTCTCCAGTTTGGAAGTAACTAAAAAAAAACATTGCCGATACTTTAACGTGTGTAATATTGTGTTAATTTTTCGTACTTCCATTTTACTTGCACTTAACTCTGTTAATTACCTATTTTTGTTTTATTGTTTAGGTTCCTACCGCCCCAATTTACATTCCATCGATCATTAAGCCTACTCCTTATTCTTTTGTATTTATACCTAGAACTGTATCCCCGTCTACAATCAATTATTCATCAAATCCATTTTTACAAATGAATTATAATGTTTCTTCACAGCTCAATTATAACACTCAAAATCGATATTGTTATGATCCTTTTCATCCTCAAGTTAACATGCAAAGATCATACTGTACATCTTTCCCTTTTCCTTCTTCTTTGAATTTCAGTGTTGATCAATCAGCAAAACAAACAAATTCATTTAATTTTTCTGATAATCCTTTTGATTTTAATAAGTCAAATATTAAACAACATTCCCAGTGCGCCGATAAGATTGATACCACTGTTAATAATCTAAACCATAAAACCGAATTAGACGTTTTAGATATGGTGTTCGATAACAACAATAATAATAATAATTATGATAATAATAATATCTCACATCAAACACCAACTGTTAGTAGTCCAGTATTTTCAACTAAACAAAATGTTGATCATTGCACTACTAGATTAGAAAATGAATTACTTGTTAGATCATGTAAGTTTATTCGTATTTTCTGTTATTTCGTGAGCATTTTATCATCATGAGGAGTACCATTTTCTTTTGGATTTCCGTAAAATCACGTAATATACTTCTAAGCTTAAACAATTAGCTAAGCTTCAAGTTTACTTATTCGTTACATTTGTATGCGATTAACGGAAATCACTTTTATTGTTGGAATTTTTTTCTTTTTCCTTTTGATCAGTTTCTTTCTGTATATTTAAAAATACTCCAGATATACTCAGATTTTATCGATAGTACACTATATATATAATTTTAATTGTTAGTATTTATTGTCTGTTCTGATAATATCAAGTTTTTGATTACTTACTTACACCTGTTACCCCTCATGGAGGAGCATAGGACGCCCACCAGCATTCCCCATCGAACTCTCTCGCGGAGAATCCTTTCTAGTTGCTATTCATCCTTCTCATATTTGCCTTCAATTCTCGACGCAGTGTGTTCTTTGGTCTTCCTCTTTTTTGTTTCCCTTCAGGATTCCAAGTTAGTACTTACCTCGTGATGCAGTTCAGTGATTTCTTCAATGTTTATCCTATCCACCTGAAGCAAATTTTCCTAATTTCCTCTTCATTTCCAAGCTGGTTTGTTCTTTCCCACAGTAGGTTGTTGCCGATGGTGTCCGATCAACAGACATTGAGTATCCTTCGTAGACAATTGTTTATAAATACTTTTGCTTTTTTATTATGGTTGTGATAGTTCTTCACGTGTCAGTTCCGTACAATAGAACTGTTTCGATGTTCATATTGAAGTTTTTGATTTTGGTGTTGGTTGACAGTTGTTTTGAATTTCATATGTTCTTCAACTGCAGGAATGGGGCCTTTATTTTGCCTATCCATGCTCTTACGTCTTCATCAGATTCTCCTTGTTCATCGATGATGCTTTCCAGGTACGTGAAAGTTTCCACCTGTTTCAGAGTTTCTTCATCAAATGTGATCGAGTTAGTTTTCTACTCGTTGTATTTGCGAATCTTGGTTGATTCCTACTGATTCCGAGGCTTCTGCTATAGTAGGTCTTTGCTCGGCTTAATTTTATTTATAGTCATGTTGGCAGAATTGAATGTGCAATAGGTGTGCGAAAATACAATGATGACTAAGGAATCCTTCTTTGAATTGTCTAATAATTTGTAAAAGACTTATAAATACTGATAAAAATATGTAAATTAGCATTTTAAGTAACTCCGCCTGGAGTCTCCCCGGGGGCTACTGTCGGTCCCAAGCCCGAATAAAGGAGGAGGGTTCGGCATGAGGTTAGCGACCCCATCCTGTAGAAAACTAACTCGCTAAAAAAACGCTAACCAGAAAAATGCTGGTCAGCGACCTATGCTTCATTAGGAGTAGCAGGCGTAAAAAAGCATTTTAAGTAGTAACTGTGGTATATTTTTCTTTTCAACTCATATTAATTTTGATCTGGAAAATAGAATCTAAAAAGACGTGAATTATTTTATTTAATTATATTAAATAAAATATACCCATTCGGTCATATAAAAGATTTTATTCGGTAAAGGAATATTTTTCAATGAATTCATTTTCAATGCTTTACAATTGTATATATAGATATGCATTATCATTAGTTCCTTTATGAAATTCGACTGAATAATTTTAAATAAACAATTAACTATCAAAGAAGAAAGTTTATAAACCATGAGGAATATATTATCACTGAAGACAATGGTGTGCGGTGGCGCAACTTCGTGGACTGGTTGAAGTTAGACATTTACACCGTTGGATGCCGGCTCAGTGGTCTAGTGGTTAAGTGCTCGCGCGCGAAGCCAGTAGGTCCTGGGTTCGAACCCCGCTGGGTGCGGGGTCGTGGATGCGCACTGCTGAGGAGTCCCATACTGGGACGAAACGGCCGTCTAGTGCTTCCAGGTTTTCTATGGTGGTCTAGCTTCAATTGACTCATGATTTCAACCTGTGAAAATTTCTAAAACTCTCCACAAAACCCATTCTGAGGATAACAGTGATTATCGTTAAGTTGAGATGAAAATACATAGTTCATCATCTAAATATCGTGATAGAAGCAGCCGTTGTAATAATAGTAATAACACCCCAAATGTCCCGGTAAGGCCGACGGTGGGAGAGCCAGCCCTCCCTTTCGAAATACTCTCACATAGCCACGTGCATACTACTCACTGCCTTCTCGCGGTGGGGGGTGTTGTTTACGAAACTGAGAGGACGAAGAGCGAATGTACGGCACTTTAACCGGGTTGATGGTCACGGAGGATCCACCCAGGGGAGTTGGAAAACCCCGACTCCAAACCAATGGTGTACATGGGCCCCAATAGCCTAAGGGAACAAATGGCGTATGAACCGATCATTGGTGATCGGGTACCATGGGACTGCATCTTCTGACGTTGATCCACTGCCCTGTGGGTCAGACGTTTAAGTCGAAGGCTATGGGTGTGTTCTCCTAACAAAACCACCTTCTTCGTTTTGGGTACCTGGGCAGTATCAGGTCATAGTATTCCAAAGAAGCTGATTGATAATAATAACCATCTGTTACATATATACTTTGACAAATCTTCCTATTCAACTCGAGGCATATAGATGGAGGCATGTTTTTACTGACTTGACAACCTCCGAGATCAGCTCAACGATCGACATATAATGCATTATATTACAAACAACTATCGTTGCAGAGACTCAAAAGAGAGTTTCAGTCTTGTGAATTATTGGGTTTGCAAGTAAATTCTATATGCAATAATCGATCTTTTCTGTTTGTTCATTTTTCAACTATTATGGAATAATCGTTAATATCCAATTTTTGTATTCGTAATTAGACTAATTAAATATTATAAAAAATGTATTTCATATGCAAATATAACCACTTTACTTTATTTCCATCTTTAGTTATTGTTATTTTTGTGTCTTCTTAGGTCTTCTTACTAACTCATCAGAAGCTCTGAATTCAAATTCTAACTTTTTAAATCCGACAAATGATAAATTCACTAATTCTGTTACGGTAAGCTTAATATATTGTAAAATAATATTGTTGATCACTGTTGTAAGAAAATATCACAATTTGACAAGTATATGTATATTTAAACTTTACATTATGGTTGTGAGCAAATGATTTAACTTTTTAGGATTATCCATTCTATGACGAGTGCTAGCTAGTTTTGATTAGACCAAAGTTAGAAGCGGCCCAACGAGTAGGAGTTATCTGTTTATGAACTAATCAACTTTTGAACTGAGTCATGTCGGCAAGTTCAGATTACCTGGATTGTGGTCCGCATGATTATCATAATCAATAGTTAGAAGAGATGTTGCGTAACCATTCGGTAATTTATATTTCTAACTTTGATCAACTAGTCATATTGAATAAACATCATTCATTCCTATTAGTGTGATAAATATCAGTTCGTAATGTAAACTATAAATATCTTTATTGCTGGGCTATCATTTTGCTACTATTTTATTTACATCGCTTTATTTACTTATATTTCATTGTGCTGTACCTATATATACTTGTATTTATTTTGCTTAAATAAAATTTCAAAATTAGATTCGTTAAATATCTGTAGTCGTGTAAGTTATTTACTGTTTATTAACATACATATACAAGTGTATAATTAATGATTATTTTATCATATTTTCTTTGCTTTTAACCGGTGCTCTTTTTTCTTTGCTTGCCAACCTTCATAAGTATTTCTCATCAATAATATTTTCAAATATTTATAAGAAAAATAATAATCACTTAATTCTGTATTATTAAGCAGCTAACTATCCAATGATTTTTAACTAATAATGATTATTGTAGATGCTTAGTTAACTTTACTATTTCAGTTTGTATAAATACTGTTTAATAATTGTATTGTCTTTGATTTTTATCTTGTATCAATTTTTTATGAAATTATTCACTTAGCTTTTTTGTATCATCAGTTCTTGTTTGTTTTTTTTAAATGTCAGGATGAAGATTAAAGGGATGATAACTTCCAGGACTAATTTATGGACTATCAATATATATATATAATTATTCAGAAACTAGATTACCATATATTCATATCCCTTTTATCATACGTGTTTGCTATATGATTTAGTATTCTTAATCTGCTGCCAGTTTATTATTCACAGTCTTCCGTACTTGCAGCCACTTTGTTGACTTGATCACATGTAGTTGTTATTTTCCATCTTATAGTATGATATGTCTGTAAACTACGTATGTATGAGATATAATATTTGTAAAGTGTAGACTGATTACTGTGTTCTGGATTCAATGACAAGGGCAGGAAGAGAAGCCACTGAATAGAGCATTGATAAGAACCTAGCGTCGACAGATTTCAACTGTTTTTTCCACATGATATTAGACAGCGGTCATAAGTCAACAGTTTACATTTTTATTCAAAATACATCTGTTTAAAAAGTTTTTTTAAAAATTGTATTGCTATTGTAATTTTCAAGTGAAATTTGTATATTCGTATCATACTCAGCTTTATTCATCTTATAAAAACACAGTCGAATGTTAATCTCATGATGTGAATATCATGACACAACTGAATATCAATGTCTTAACATTTTATTAAAAATTACTTGTTATACATAAGTAAGGTTTGAATCAAGTGTTAACCCTCAATTATTTTATGTTACTTAGTATATTAAATTCAAATATAAACTATTAAATATTATGGCATAATATTTATTTCGATGTTATGACTATATTATTATTATGCAAAACTAAAATACGATCAGACATTAAAAAGAAGAATATATTTGTAAAATCTCAGCGAATGGATTTTAAGTAAATCCAACGTTTCGCCTGGCAATCTGGTCCAAGCTTTTTCAAGGAAAATATTTTACAAATATATTCTTTTTAATGTCTCAAATTAACTCGGCGCCCAAATTTTGTGAAACTATTCGTTCAAATTTAGACGAAAGTTCTTAAAATATGATCATTTATATCATTATAAATGTTTCCAAAGTCTTTATTCTGTATAGGACTCCTTTAAAATATAATTCGATGACTATTTAGACTACTAGATAGTTCAGATAACACTTCAATTACTTTTCATGTGTACTGACAGTCTGGTTACCTATTTTCTAGCTATTCAGACCATATATATATATATATATATATATATATATATATATATATATATGACATAATTTGCCAAACGGGTCCTTGTTCTCATTGCTAGTATGGTGTTTTTTTTCATACTTTATATCATCAATATCTATTTAGTGTCACTTGCTTTCAGTTTTCAAACAAAAACTATCACATTGAACTGCCTGTATAGTTATCTTTTTTTAATTTCATAACAATGAGTTGAATTTTAGACTGAGTGAGTATTGTTGGGACTTTCGAATCTTCATTGCACTTTTATTTTTGCCTTTTTTCTATTCGTTACGGTTTTTGATCCAGATCATTATTTCGTTCCCTAAGTATGATTTTTTTTTTGGTTTCTACTAATATATAAAAAACTTGTGTTTGTATAACATTGATTTGGTTGGAAAATTTTACTTTTTCGCCAGTTTATTGTTTGTGTACATGTGTGTTTAATAATCGTCTGATATGTTGTACTTAAATGCCTAAACACTGGCTTCCTAGAAGCGTTCTAGTCCACAAAAGTCTCCTACTTTTAAAACTCAATGGAATAACAGGCGGAAAACATAAAACAGACCTTACTTCATAGGTCCCAATATGTACAGAAAAACTGCAGTGTTTATAATATCCTGGGTGACCTTGATATTTTAGGCAAAGTTGCTAAAATTCTTGATATATTCAATAGTTTTCCGATCAGGATCAAGAAAAATATTACCACTCATTCCCTTGATTCCTTATGTGAACTTCTAAAATGTCCTTATTGGCCGAATTATTTTCTGGATTTTCCCTGACTTTTTAATGCTATTCAACCAGAAATGTACGTATTTTTTAACCACTTTATTGATTGAATTCTTGATAGATGGGGCGCTAATTAATTCATGTAACAAGACATTATGACGTGTCGTTTAAGTCACAACTCTTTATGGAAATCGACTTAGTGTGTTTCTCCATAGTTCACAAATTAAAATGCTATCAAAACTAATATGCACTCGTGTTGTTAATTATTTACTTATGTATCAAAGTAATTAGTAACTAAACAATAAATTATATAAGTGAATCAATATGTGAACCATTGAATATCTAAATGAAATAAAGGATTTGGAAAATGAGGCAAATTTATGTTCACTACTGTTCACTATTTGATGGGCCATAGGACATAACACACTATGCATTGGAAATAATTAGTTACATCTAGCCCCGACATTACCGATTTCAGTCATTCGTTTACGATTCAGTGATTTTTTCTACTATTTTCTAGTTTTGTTTTTCCATGGTAAAAGTTAAGCTTTTTTAGCTGTAATTCATAGCATATATTAGTACAGTGGAGTAAAATGTAAGTGTGAATAACGGTGAATTATGATCTAATTATGAAACGAAGATTATAATCTTTCCAAACTGATTATAATTGCTGCTACTGAATGCATCCTTCTTATTAGTATTGTGTGTTACTACTGGGATTGTGAATTATTACAGAGATAACTATTCATTAAAAACAAACTGTGAGTTATAATAAGCAGACAAATTATTTTCTCCATTTATCAAATCAATTTCAGATTGTACTCATTTTCAGAATGTTGTTTATTGTGAGATAATCATCTAATTTGATTTGTTTTTCTTGTTTTATTTCTGTCTAGGTTTCTCTCTCAGAAAATAATATTACTTCAGGTAGTCTGTTTTTCTAAGAAATAAGAATTAAGTCATACATATAATTATATTTTACATAATCTGTTTACCTTCTTATCAATATAAATTTTTGAAATGTATACATCATACCTATACATACTAATTGCATGTTGGTTCCATTTTTGTTAATTTTGATTGACTAGATATTTATTAGAAGAGGGTTTTATGGAGAGTTTAGTAGTTTAATGGTTGAATTCATGAAGCAATTAAAGTATACACGATCCCGCCCGCAGGATTCGAACTAGGGATCTTCGGTTTCGCGCACTAGCGCTTAGCCTTTAGATCACTAAGTAGTCATCCAACATTGTTAATATCTTACTTCAACCAATCCACGAAATTGTACCATCGTCTTCACTGAGTTACTATCTCACAACAGACCCGGTTGATCCCCACTGGTCATGGCTTCTCACTAGAACTCCAGCAAATGCCTTTTGATGCCAATCACTAGTGTGATGATTATTATCAGAAGGGTTTGTAAAGATTTTGGTAATTTAATACTTGTTTTTAATATTAATTAATAAGTGGAATGACTTCAAATTTATAGGTGAAATAGTGAGATTTACACTGATTGCTAACAGAATATACCTGAGGAAAAGATAACTTATCAGAAAAACCTATACGTCTCAACTTTTACAGTTTTTTCTTTCACAACATATGGACTATCAACTGACAGATTTTATGGTGACTTAAATTTAATGATCATCATCGAAAAATATGATATCAATCTTATGAATTATGTTTAATCTAAATTCAACCAGATTTTTCTCTCAACTCAGTTAATCTTTTTACGGTTTACAAATATAATAGTTTTTTTAATATTTTAAATATACAATAATATTCGGATCGATGAGACTATGATTTATTGACAACGTTTGAGCGACTCTAAAGTGACCCTGAGAATGTCCACCTACCAGCTAAGACTAAATGACGGTTAGGATTTAAGATTTTCATCACGAATTGAGATCAGCTAAAATTCCAAAACGCTACCTAGCTAAATAGATGAATGAACTTCGCACCAAAATCCAACCACGTAGTCGTAAAGACAGTTCTGTACAGCTTTCTTTCGTATCGTGACACAATGTCCTACACTGACCACCTCTCTGCTTTTTCTAACCAGTACCAGCGTCGGCAAATAATGCACGATGTAGAATTCTCTGGAACGATATTCGTAGAACATGTCCAAGCCACTGAAGTCGATGTTTCAAGATAGTGACACTAATTGAATTATCGTCGCTGTGCCTGAACACACGGTGACAAACCTCTGCATTACTAAAATGATGTTGCCACTGGATGTCAGCAATCCTTCGGAGACCACGATGTTATAGTCACTTGATACGACAATATTATAGAGATGATAGTTTATTTCTCAGTTATATCATAAATTTTATGTTCTATAAGGAAATCTGAGTAGTTTAGTCTACATTGTACTTTCCTTTATAAAGTATAACTTAGTCATTTGTTTCCTTATACGATTTTTTTAAAGGTGTAAATCCTCAGCATCAAGTGAATGAAAAACTAAACGACGTTTTTGAGTCTTCAGATAATTTTAATGATGAAGTAAGTTTTTTTAGAAACTATATTTATTTTGAGAAATTCATTTAGATATAATTCATCAATTTTAAAATTTCTTACTCTTACTGGCTGTAATATTTACCCTTCAATTCGTTTCATTTTATTAAAACAGTCCGTTAGTTTTTCTTTTTTTTATGTGTGTATGTATATGCAATGATTAATATACTTAGGATAAACAACTTACGTCACCTATGGCAAAGGCGAGATATCCTTCTATCAATTAAACGACGAGTTTACTGCTCAGCAGTTTGTTCTGTTTTACTTTACGGCTGCGAAACGTGGCCATTAAGAGTAGAAGATATTCGCTAGCTACTAGTATTTGACCACAGATGTCTTCAAAATATTACTCGCATCTTCTGGGATCACCGGACAAGTAATAGTGAGGTTAAAAGTAGGGTATTAGGGAATGATGGCAAATCAGTTGATGAGATTGTGAATCTTCATTGACCGAGATGGTTGGGCCATGTGTTTCTCGTGCCTGAACACCGATAACCACAACGCGCAATTCTGACTAGTGTAGGGGATGGTTGGAAGAAAGTTAGAGGTGGCTGAATCAAAACGTGTCATCAGTGCTTGAAGTCATCGACTTCTGGTGTGAGCCATGTTAGTAGATGCAAAGTACTTGGGTGTGGTTCGCGTGACTCTCGTAACCAATGGTTGTAGACTGTGGGTGATATGGCTCAGAATCGATAGTGTAGGTGTATACACTCTCTGTCTTCCTTTAAACTATGAGATTAAAATTGTTTTATATCTTTCTTTCTACAAACGGACTCTTTCTTCCTGTACTATATCCTTATATGCAATCTTTGTCTTATATATATATATATATATATATATATATATATATATATATATATATATATATATATATATATATATATAAACTACTTTTATGAATCCCGTGTTCATCTTTTTTGTGCTAATGCCGTATGATAACTTGGACCGATGCATATATGTGCCTGGTTCTACGTTTTAGCCGACTTAGAATGAACAAAACATCATCTACTATCATCAAATTATTCTTTGTAATAAGAATTACTTTAGTAAATCATTAATGACTTCTTAAAGTTATATATTCAATATTACTTAGTCTGTTTGTTTCTATATACATATATCAATGTTTTATGAATTATTTGTTGTTTGTATATGCAAACATGAAATTACCTTGTTTTTGATAAATAAATTTTTCTATTCTATTCATGAACTATTCTCAAAACTTTTTCTCAATGTATCATCAATGATAAAAAGTTCAGAAGAAGGTTTTTTTTATTTTAGTCAACCATTTAAAAGGAATGGTTTTCAATGATTTTGTCTAGGGTATTTGTTTATTTACTTGGCTTTCCATATGTTATTAAGGTTTTTTGTTGCATAAGAATTTTTTCAGTGTGTTCATGTCTTATTTAGTGTTTTTTTTCTAAAAAAGACAATCCAAACTAACATTAATTAACTTCAAACCTTGATAACATTTACATTCCTCATAATAATTACTTAATTGTAGTTTGATACTGTGGTGCGTGTTACTTATATTGACATAAGTAGTATATTATGCGAGTCAGGAATGTAATGTCTGGCAGCAGAAGATGAGGGAAGATCAAGAAAGCAAAAGTGGGAATAGAATGCAATTTGTATGAAACTGTAAGAACAATGAAGTCTGAGGCATTTTGAGACAATCGGTGGACATTTTGCAAATTAACGATTTGATATACAGTTCTCAGATTTTATTGAGATGCTCTGCAATTTTGTGTCGAACACATTTGATTGTCCGCACCAGTGTTCTTGTTCACTACGATACAACACTTGTGTTCTTCGTTATGTTTCTTAATAGCTCAGATTATCTATTTATTTATTTGAACACAAACGTTGGTGCTAGGAGGCAACAAATATATGTGTTCCACACTTCGTCATTCGATTTCTATGATGGCTAGAATATTCGGATAGGTGTCAAGCCTTGTTTTTTCTTTCATTTTCGGAAATTATGAGATTTTTCATGAAGTTCTGTCACTTTTAGTCCTTCAAAAACTAATTAATTGAACTGAGTTATATGAACTGTTGATATACGTAGAACACTTTTAGGCCTAATAGACTAACATGTATACATATATCATTCTTATTAGTTATTGCGAATTCGTTCACATTCGGTGTTACTCTTTGCATTTCAGATTTCACTTGTTCGTTCTCATGTTCCTGGATGCACTTTATCTGAAGCTCATTGGGCGTTATTACATGTAATGAATCCATTTTCTCCACTTATATCTCAATTAGTTGTACCTCCAATTCCATGCACTGCACCTATAGAAACTTGGCGGACCAAACTAGATAGAACTAGTGCTTGGCGTGTACAATTAGCCATTCGCCTTTTATCTGTTTGTCGTCTTTATCAATTAGGTCTAATCAATTGGGATTCATGTTGTCAAATTATTAGTGCATTCAATTGGAAATTGGAACCTGCAGCTGATTGGATTCTTGATCATATGACCCCTAATTGTTTTATTTAATTCATTGCTAGAGTTGTTATTGTTATTATTATTTTTAATTATTGACCTTTGCAAAAACAGTTGTCTTGTTGATTTTTAATTTGAAATTCTCTTTATCAGTTGCATAATTCTTAGATTTCATTCATCTTTATTTGTTAAAGTGTATCTTACTCATTTGTACTTTAATACGTGTTAATCTTTTTGTTGAAAATTATTGACATTGGTCATGGAATCCATCTCATCGTTTCTTATGATTTTGTCGCTTTATAGCATGAACTACTTAATTGTCTAGCGAATAGTACATAATTGTTTTGTCAATATTTCTTATTCATAGTTGGAATGTATGAAATGATTGTACGGCATATCGTTTAATCCTATTAAGATCATTTTAATTTAATTAATTTTTGAGGTTGATAAAATGTTATTGTTCAGGGAAACTTCAAGGATTATTATCTTATAGAATTGGTTGGATTTGTCTTTTTTCCACAAATGATCGGTATATGTGTTTACATAGTGCCTCAATTTACAAAACAGATAGAAAATCAGTTTCAAGTTGCATATAATTGTGATAGATATTATGTGTAGTCAGTGGCTTTTGCTATCACGCGACTCGTTTCCACTTTTTATTTGTTATTACAAACCTGTTTGTGAGTTTTTCATGAGTATTATCGATAATTATCGAACTGTTCTTATTCTTGTTACTATCTAATTTTCATGAACTCGTTTTTCACGTACATAAATACCATTACTTAATTATCTTCATTTAAATATACCCCTGACTGTCGTGCGTAATTCTAGTCACTTCGTGTGTGTGTGTGATTTTTTATTAAACGGTTGTATAATTGCTACTAACTGTCAATTCATTTAATTTTTGTGGTAAGCATTTAAAGAAATATAATGGGGATATTATTCATCAGTCACTTTCTTTTTGTATTACTACATTTATTCCATATTTTAGGCTTGAACATTTACTTCTGAAAACCTTGATCATAAGCAAGCTAGACAAGAAAGTATGCGTGGTTTTAATAAACAAATGAAATTATATTGATTAAAATGAGTTCAATGCGTAGTTATCTTACGAAATTTTAAAGACACAATAAATAGAAAGATACCAGTTCATAAGCAGGAAGACAGTTAACAATTTTCTTAGAGAATCTAAACATTACATTTGTAATTTTTTTAAACCTACTGTATCAAAAGCACTATTCTATAGACAATCGAAATTCACACGTAATATCTCTACCTGGTTCTAGGTATATTCAATTTTCCAGACCACATAATTGTAAAGTTACTAGTTATTGTCTTAGGACCGTACAAATGAGTCGTAAATAAAAATGTTAGTAATGTTCTCAACTTCATTTCCAAACTGGAGGATGTGATTATTAGGATGAAACATGATTTCTCTAGATTTCGTCTCTTTTCAACAAATTAACACTAGTTGAGATAGTCGAGTTCACATATACATAAATATCAGAAAAACAAATCAATATTGTAATTGCTGGAGTAGTCTGAAAGAATTCTAAGATGTATACTATTTATTCGTCTTATCGTCAATACTGTTTATTATTGACAAATTGATAGAACAGCTACTGGTTAACCTCAAGCTTTTCATGATTTCTTTACAGAAATTATTGGTAATTAGTGTTAATTATGTATAAGTCCATATCGAACTGAAGTAACGGTATATTCATTGTTTCTTTGTTTATCTATTAAATCCAGGATGATGTAAAAGTTGGTGACTAGCTATTGATTAGTCTTTTAGTCTGTATTACTTTTTGTAGTATTCATCAAATAGTCGTTTTACAGTCTATTTTTAATACTTATCTTCTCTATTGTGAGCTTTATTTGAATTGAATCTATGTCTTTTATCGATTGGTAATGAACAGTCAATAACTTATATATAGGTTACTCAATGTTGAACCCAAAATGTCTTAGTTATATATCTATTGAGATTTATAAATTGTGACACACTGTGGTTTTGTATAATCATGTAAATTATGAATCAGATTAATGTGAGCTCTCATGAATACTCATCTAACGTTTTCTATCCCAACTGATGGTTTGAAAAAATGGGAATTCCTGTATTATATATATGGTGTAAACAATGCATATAGAGTTCAAAGGATGGTTGTTAGTAGCATGAAAGACAACATAAATCACTGAAATGAGCTTTATAGTTAGTAAAACACATTGAACGTTATTCTATATATTTGCTAGAAATATGATCTGCATAGTTAATTTTTCTAAATCTCTATTTGTACAATAAACCCTTATTATTTTAAGTACTATGAACTTCTTGTATTTTACCTGTTTTATATGAAACGTATCATGCTTGATATGATTTGTGATTTTCGAATTCAGTTTAACCAAATTACTTGTATTTGAATTAAGAAATTTACTAACGCTTATTCAACATTTATTAGCTTATGAAAAAATCCATTCATAATTAGAATTGAAAATTATTATCGGTTTGTTTCATATGAGGAGTAGAATAGTAGGATTGAGAAAGCATAGATTGGTTTTATATTAAAATTTCTGCCCCTATGTAAATTACAATTTTCAATAAACATATATATTTTCAAATAACATATATGCTTCACTCGGTATTGTTTGGCCAATAACAGACTGATCAATTGCAGTCTTAAACCTCAATAGGAAGATATAAGCCAAACAATACCAAGTGAATTTAAATTCGCCCCATTGCACAAGGAAGTGGCTATCAGGACTCAGCAGCTGAGTAGATAACGCGATGGCGTTTGAAGCGAATGGTGCTGGGTTCGAGTCCCAGAGTGAACATCAACTCTGAGATGTAGGTACATCCAGCTGACGAATCTCGAATAGGACGAAACGCGCGTCTTGGATTCCACTGTCCATCATTGCTTACAACATATATGTTTTCCCACATTTTGTCGGATACGAACAAGTATGAAATAACATTATAGAACCTCTTACTTTCGGATTGACTAACCTTTTGTTATAATGCGTCCAAATGAATATACCAGAAAGCAGTGGATTGACTCATTTATTTGGGTTTAACCCTGTCACACTATGGTTGCATAATCCTCAAGAATATCAAATTGTAAAGAGACAGTTTCTTTTTTAAATTTATGTTTATATATGAATGTATTAATAAAGATTACTTGTAACCCTGACTTTGTTGTAGTTCTCAAGCTACATTATTCTCTTCTTAAAGGATAGCTAGTATTTCCTTAGTGAAACTATTATCAGATTCATACATGAACGTTTACTTTAGATATTCTATCACCCAATCAATAAGATATAATTTGAACTAATAAGCACATTTCCATGTGGGTTTTCAATTGGATTCTAATTTGTAAGAACTACTGTGATCAGGTAAGTTGCAGCTAACTGGTGGACGGACAAAGTAGGCTAGAATATACCTCTGAAAGAATGAACCTGAACTTTCCAAGAAAATAATTAAATTATCATCATCGTATCCAGTTTGAGACTGTAACGTGATTTCTCCCGTTTCAAACGGAATATCTGATAGTGCTACATGTCATCAGCACTATAGACGAGAAAAGTTGGCGTTCTTCAACAAGAAAGCTTTTACTGCCTATTGAAGACCTCAAAAGTTGAACCGACTATATCATTGTTGGGAATGCGGAGGAATAGACCAATAATTATCATGTTAAGTCCGATGGTGTCCTTGGACTTTAAATGGACATTTTCTATTGGTCGATATCTATTCACTTGTTGAGTATTGTACAAAATGTTGTTTTCTATTTTATGGTACGATGTGGTATGCTTGACTGGTATATAAACAAAGTATGTTTGAAATATAATGATTCATATCTCCGAGGCTGTGGCTTGTGTTCTGGACTCAACTGGCTGGGCTGGACAGGGATGCAGGACCAATCAGAACTGTAGGCCGTTCGTTCGTGTTTACGTGTCACTGTAGTCGATCGATAAGTACGCTGTTCTCTAATCTCTTCAGTCAAGGACACAACAATTAGCACAGGGTAAAATTCGACCTCAACATAAAGCCGTAACAATCATGTTGATATCTTTGAAGAGCATAATACAGTTTAACAAATTAAGACAGATAATAACTTAGCGAATAACTAAATTCAACTCAGTATTTCTGAAATTTCGGTCATTGTTGACTCGTCTAAACGTCAGAACTACAATTACTGAACAGAACAGGAGCATACTTTCAAGATTTCCTAGGAAATATCTTGATCAATGTTGATTTGAAATTTGATGGTTTCATTAAAATTGATTTCAGCGAAATCTGTAGATTTTACTATACCAATTATTGTAATTTCAGTTCATTGTTATTTTTCATGACTGGTTTCGAAAAAATTGCATTATATTTTAAATAGAATAGTTCTTTTTATAGATTATTTTTGTTTAATTGAATATCAGTTTATGTTTTGGTTACATATTGGACCATAAATACTCCTATAAATGTTTCCTACTTGGTGTATGACTGAGCGGATTTCATACAACAACAGTTAGTGGAATTCTAGTGGTAATACACCGATAAGCAAGAGACTTTATTGTTTTAAGTAGAACTGTATACTTCACTGAGTGGTGAAATATCAGATGGCTAACCCTGGTCTGTGACCGCAAAGAATTAATATTGATAAAAAATACCACTATATATATACTTTTTGAGTTATTTGTTTATTTAGATCACTTTACAAGCTTTATACCAAAATACAGTCACATCATTTATTTAAACGTGCTTCCTAACTAACTGGTAATACAGCATTTGGACACTCCTTGTAATTTTCTTGAATTTTTGATTGCGGAATGAACTTTATCTTATCGACCCTTCACGACTGAAACCGTAAATAAAGGTCCTTTCTACATTCATGTTTTTAAGGCAAAAGCTAGCTGGTGTTGTAAGATATGTTCAGTGTGGTTAATATTTATTCGACCAGAAACTGAAGTAAATGATCCAAAGCAAACAGTCTACATTGAAGAAAACAGAACTAATACATCATGAGCCAAAGCCTAAGAAGATGATTGACAATCATATACTTTCAAAATTCATATTAGCGTTCGGGCAATTGAACAACTTTTTCATCATTACGTTATGAATTTCGCGAAAAAAAAGTGGGAAGTCGCTAATTTGATCTTGATTTTCAAGGCTTTCAATGAAGGTCTACCAACAATTGTTCACTCCACATAATATAAGCTTACAGTAAGTCATGGGCATTAATGTTTTGTATCTCTTTACTTTGGTCATTGAATGTAATATACAAATTTATTTTAAAGATAAGGATCATGTGTATGATATATAATCAAAATTCAAGTCCACTTAGTAATGAATAGTAGATTTGAAATATCTTAATGTGACTTACCATTTGTCTAAATGTACATAGTGACATCCTTTTTAATATACAAATATATATCCACAAGACAATCAATATTTTTTGATCTCATTCTTTTGTCATATTACAGATCATTTTTTGAACCATAGGAAAGAGATAATTGAAAAGTCGTTAATTTCTCATTTTACTAAAAACTATTAATTTAGGTAACAACTTGAAGACTGAAAAAAGAAACAGTAAAGCTAATTAATATTGTATTAAATAGTATTTGATGGTCCGTCAAAAACATACTGAATTTCAATCCAATTTTCTAGAGTACGTCATAACATTCATACGTGATAGTTTAATACAACCTATTTCATCATCATTAGTAAAATAATTCCTTTCCCGAATGAATCCACATTTCTTTTTAAGTCCAACTGTCCATCTTCTTATTCGATGTTTTAATGCATAATTACATCCTAGCTGATGTGCATTTCTTCCTTGTGGGTAAATGAAGTATCCTTTACATTCTGGACTACCAGAACAAGGCCAATGCATTGTTGTGTATGAATTTTTCAATGAAATCATTTTCATGCCCTATAAGAATTTATACTATTTTCTTGAAGTATCTATAATAAGTTAGTTAATGACGAATTTAGCCTTAAAACGCACTTAATAACAATACACTTAACAACTTATTCCATAGGTGGACTTTTGAAAACCATTTTTTGCACTTTATTCAATATATATAATAAGAATATTTTGTTGCTGTTTCCTTAAGAACGTTGGTTGGATTACGGTGTAATTTATATTTATGAATTATTTTATATTTTACAATTAGACAATTACATACAATGATATACTTTTGTGCTCATATGATGTATTATTATGTGTCAGTTGGAAAGCTTGTGTGATCTAACTTCGTAAGTCGATACGATGACTGGTCAAAGTATTAATTGAATGAATAAGGGATTAAGTAGTATAGTTTAGACATTTTGTCATTTGAAATTTCGCTAATTATATCTTTGTTAAATAGTAGTTTCATAAATAAAAGTTTCTTTTCAACAGTTCATATCTCTGCATCCTAATTCATTGTGTATGTGTGCTTCTTCAAAAAGATTTACGTGTAGTTTACTTCAGTCAGTGTATTGTTCGTGAACCCCAACTTTTTCCACTGAACAGATGTTATTTCCCTTCTTTCTATGACCCGTCATCAGATTTTTATATAACAAATGGATGCTGAATAAAATAACCTCGCCCTGTTGGAGGTCAATCTATCGACTAGTCTAGCTTCGTACTTGTACCTGTCTTCCCTTAAAGCCTCTGTCCAAATGTTATAATCATGTAAAAGCTATTTGTATGTAAAATTTCTACTATTTGGTTTGTGTCCTTCCCAATAATACCTTCTCAGTTTTCTCAATCTAATGGTATGATCGGCTATAATCTCCAGTTGCTTGAAGGTTTTGTGACCGTTTTTGAAACACACTGATTGATAACACATCAAATGATATTTTGCAAGTAATTCCAAACGGAGAACATGTTTTCCAGTCTACTCGTTCAATATTATCTTTTACTGTTATCAAACGACAACTGAAGGAATATTTTTTTCACAAAAATTCTTAGAACCTTTCCTGGAATCATTTTAAATCACTGTAATCCTTCTAAAATTCTTTTCCTTGTGAATACGTTTGCTCATACTTTATTGTTCAGTCCAGATGATTTATGCTACGACAATATGCCCTCAAGAAACTTTTAAATTATTTGTATTTACATTTTAGATTAAATTTCACAGAATCCTATTGTTTACCAAATTTAATCATGGAAATACTTCTTTCACCTACAGAACACAATTTTTAATAAAGGTTGAGTCAGTATCATTGTAGTGACTCACGTTTATCACGAGAACACGATTGGTTTAATAAAAACAATTATTATTATAACCAACTGTACCAGTGTTTGTTTTAACGTGCTTTTGTTTGACTGTGCTAATGACAGCTATTTTGTGCTTCCATTCTTATACTTACACTTCGATTGTAACTTCGCGCGAATTCGGTTACTTTCTGTAACCAAGGTTGTATCCTGGCACGATCTCGGTATCCTTTCGATGCCACGAGATCGCCAGCTAATAAACCTCGACTTGGTCCATTAACTGTCTTCTGATATTTGGCTTCTCGGGGATTTTATGGAGTCATTTGGAACGAGCTTCTTACGCCTTCTGATCTAATTGGCACGTGTTTCTTTGTAGCGGTGTTCATAGTTTACCTCAACTCGACGCCACGCTACAATAGGTAATCCCAAATCGAATACAATTGGTGACCCGTATTTTGGAACACGCCTCAACTTCTGATCAAATCTTCCAAAGAAGCGAATTCGGTGAGTCTATGATTTATCTATCCACGTCTGTCGTATATTTTCATATTTTTTAATATATAATATACGCGAAATGACGGATAACGATAAGAATAGTATTAATATAATAGACTCACACGTATGTGTACCGAATCCTTGTCACTTTTTATTCGCGTGATGATGAATTCCAAGCTTTATTCGAGAAATGTTACCCTATTACCGATTCTCCTCGCTGACCCGGCTGTTTGGTACGGAATGCATACGCATAAGCATATCCGTCTACCATCCAGCACCAAATGGTTAAATTGAACGGTTTCACTGCCAACTTAAAAGTGTTCTACGAGCACACGAAAACGGCAACTGGCACGAAACCTTACCGCTCGTTCTTTTAGGGGTGAGAACGAGCTTGAAGGCAGATATACAATGTTCCGCCGCTGAAATGGTATACGGCACGACATTGCTTCTGCCCGGAGAATCCTTCACACCACGGAGCAGACCTAATTTCGGTAAATCAGACAACGTCCGTCGACTGTCTGCATTTATGTGAACGCTGTCTCCGGTGTCAACTCGAATACAACATCGACAGGTCGCTCTCCCTTGAGAGTTATCTACCTGTTCACATGTTTTTGTACGAGTAGATTCGGTACGCAAACCTTGGCAACAACCTTACGAAGGCCCTTTTCACGTGATCGCTCGTCACGAAAAGACCTTCAAGGTTGATCGACATGGACGCGTCGAGATCGTCAGCATTGATCGTCTCAAACCAGCACACGTCGATGACAGTGCCCTATCTGGTAACCTGAGATTCAATGCTAGACCTATTAAACCTAGCGGGATACTTAAATCTTCAGGTCCCACGCTAGTTGCATCTGAGACCCCATTCTCACGTCCCGGTCAACAGCACGCGTCATCTGCACCGTCTACGGACAAGACGATATTCTCACGTCCAGATCAGCAGACCATGCCGCCTCTGACCTCGGATGAGATTGCAGGCTCACGAAATACGAACGAGACTGCCGTCTCACGTTCCGGTCGCCGAGTACGGTTACACGTACGCTTCCGCGACTAGCCACACAGTCAACAACCGATACGGTGTAGGATTATTCCTATACTACACGCATGCTACACTCTTCTTTTTTGATTTTCTTTTTGTTTCCTGAGCCCACGCCTTCGACCATCTCCGTTTGGTTCCGTCGACTTCAGTCAACTTTGGCGCAAGCTGGCCTGATCACCCACGCTCTTGTCAACGTACTCAGTCGATATATTGGTTTCGAATGCTTGGCATACGCTTGGTCTCGAACTTGGTCGTTATGGTCGCTTCTGGTCTTTTGGCTCAACGTGGTTTCGTCCTTCGTCTGCAGCGTTTATGGTCCGGACCCGTACGAACGCCCTCTTCAGATTCTGGATACAAACCACTCTGGTAGCATGCCGACTCAAGCAACAAATACAACACACCGCTCCTGGTTCCGTTCTCCGAAAACGACCTTCGTTGGCAACTCGACGATCAACGATCGCTTTCCTGTTCGCCAATTCTTCCGTCCTACAATCGCTCGCCAGCCGATCAGTCCCACGATTCAAACCGCTATTTATCGAAAGTGTAAACCTTTTCTAGCGGGGGGCTCCTGTAGTGACTCACGTTTATCACGAGAACACGATTGGTTTAATAAAAACAATTATTATTATAACCAACTGTACCAGTGTTTGTTTTAACGTGCTTTTGTTTGACTGTGCTAATGACAGCTATTTTGTGCTTCCATTCTTATACTTACACTTCGATTGTAACTTCGCGCGAATTCGGTTACTTTCTGTAACCAAGGTTGTATCCTGGCACGATCTCGGTATCCTTTCGATGCCACGAGATCGCCAGCTAATAAACCTCGACTTGGTCCATTAACTGTCTTCTGATATTTGGCTTCTCGGGGATTTTATGGAGTCATTTGGAACGAGCTTCTTACGCCTTCTGATCTACTTGGCACGTGTTTCTTTGTAGCGGTGTTCATAGTTTACCTCAACTCGACGCCACGCTACATCATAATCAAGAAAACTAATTAGTTCCTACATAATTTACCGAAATCCATTTTATTACTAAAACGTAAATAATTCGGTAAACAGTATCTAAAATAACAGTTGACTGATTCAATTTACAATCGCTTTTTATCTTAAAGCTGAAAGTTCACTGAAAGAAAATAGCCTCACTTTTGATCATCCTCTTTTAGTGTCAACAAATGGTTGATCTTCACATCAACAGACAGTTTATTTTGAATTCGTATTTCGAGTGCATTCGTTGGGAAGCTTTGATGTACAATGATGATTAGCCCAAAGTACTGAAAGTTTGTAATTTAAAAGTAATAATATTAATCTGATGCAAATAAAATTAGCTTTAACATGTATACAGTGTTTATACTTGAAGTTTTGTTTCAATGCCTACGATATGGGTACGCGTGGTCCATATCACACAGACAGCTTTATTTTTATGTTTGTGGCTGTTTTAACGAACCAACATATGATTATGATAAAAAAAAACATACCTGTTGGCCATACAGAATCCCAAACACATAATGTTTAACGTTACAGATGGATTTTTTGAACCATGAAGTTAAAATAGGATTAAGGCTATGATAAAACGAGTGGTTTTGCATGTTGTATTTGTACATAGAGATTGAGCTGAAATCATTGGATTGGTAAAGTTTCTTCAGTACACAAATTCCTGACTCGTAAACACTTCAAACGGCTTTGTTTGATTTCATACATAACTCCGAGAGAATCTTCTTGGCAGGGCTATGAGAACTCCATGAACCGAAATGTTAACTTATGACAGCTTAAGTTGGGTGTTTGATAGTAAACCGAAAATCCTCTATCAGGACCAATATATTATGGTTAAAATATTTTTTTAATTCCTTATTTTATGTAGCCTTACATCCTTTATTATTCTTTGTATCATTCCTCTGAATAAGACTGAGTTTAGCCAACAAATGTCTTCAGTCGCATGGTGAACTGAGAGTAAAGTCGAGGTCGTGCCTTTCTCGGAAAAGAACGTTGAAACCAGAGAAATCCCCTGACTGTTCATTAGACCGAACTACGTTCTGGCAAAATTGAGAATGGAAGTTTTGGTGAAGTTCCCAGTAAACACTAAAGAACGCCATTTGATATCTAAGGTAACATCGAGTTACACAAAATGCTAAATTTGTCACACAACGTCTCTGATATTAGCCTAGACTCTTCCATTATCAACTGCAAAGTTCCAAGTTAGATTTGAGGTATTTTCGAGCCCAATCAAATA